ATTTTTCGAAATCTAAATTCTAGCTTTTTCAAATTTTCGAGGGTTCAATTTTTCGCCTATAATTTTTCAATATTTTAATTTTTGAATTTCTCTTGTTTTTAAATTTTAGATTTTTTTTGATGTTTCGATTTCTCGGCTTTAGATTTTCCAATTTTTCAGTTTTTCGATTTTCGTTTTATCAATTTTTTGTGAATGTAATTTTTTCCAGTTTTATTTAATTTTAAATTTTTTATCTATACCTATGTAGCTCAATTTTTCGACTTCTTGACTTTTCAATTTCTCGATCTTTTGATGTTTCGTTTCTCGATGTTTCAGTTTTTCAATTTTTCGAAATTTCTGTTTTGGAATTTTAAAATTTTTGATTTTCCCACTTTCTGATTTTTTCAATTTTTCAATTTTACGATTTTTTGATTTCCCAATTTCTCGATTGCATAGTCAATTTTTTCATTTTTGGACTTTTCGATTGCTCAATTTTTCGACGTTACCACTTTTTGATTTTCTGATTTTCCCATTTTACGATTTTCACTGTTTCGTTTTTTCGATTTTTCAGTTCCACAATTTTTCAGTTCTTCGGTTTTTCGATTTCTCGATTCTTCAGTTTTTTGATTTGTCAATTTTTCGATGTGTCAAATTTGGAATTTTTCAATTTTTCGATATTTCAGTTAAAGAGTTCTTCAATCCTTCGGTTTTTCGACTTTTGGACTTCTCGATTTTTGATTTTTTGATTTTTCAGTTTTTCAATTTCTCGGTTCTTCAATTTTTCGATATTTTAATTTTTTGATTCTTCGAATTTTCAAATTTTAGATTTTTCAGTATTTCAATTTTTCAGTTTTTCGATTTCTCGTTTTATCAATTTTTGTTGTGATTTAAAATATTTTAATTTTCCGATTTTTTGACTTCTTATCTTTTAATGTTTCAATTTCTCAATGTTTCAGTGTATCAATTTTTCGATTTTTCAATTTTTCGTCAATTCTGTTTTGGAATTCTTCAGTTTCTTGATTTTTCAGTTTTTCCACTTTTCATTTTCCGAATTTTCAACTTCTCGGCTTTTCGATTTTTTGATGTTTCGGTTCCTCATTATTCGATTTTTCAGTTCTTCGATAAATCCCTATTTTGTACTTTTTTGAAGTTGAAAATTTTCGATTTTCCTGCTTTCCGATTTTTCAATTTTTGTTTTTTTTTAAACTTCACGTTCTTCGATTTTTTGACTTTTCGATTTCTCGATTTTTCGACGTTACGACTTTTTGACTTTCTGACTTTCCCATTTCCCGATTTTCAGTCTTTCGTATTCTCGATTTTTCTTTATCTCAATTTTTCAATTTTACGATTTGTCGACTTTTCGATTTCTCAATTTTTCGAAATTAAATTTTAGCTTTTTCAAATTTTCGAGGGTTCAATTTTTCGCCTATAATTTTTCAATATTTTAATTTTTGAATTTTTCTTGTTTTTAAATTTTAGATTTTTTTTTGATGTTTCGATTTCTCGGCTTTAGATTTTCCAAATTTTCAGTTTTTCGATTTTCGTTTTATCAATTTTTTGTGAATGTAATTTTTTCCAGTTTTATTTAATTTTAAATTTTTTATCTATACCTATGTATCTCAATTTTTCGACTTCGTGACTTTTCAATTTCTTGATCTTTTGATGTTTCGTTTCTCGATGTTTCAGTTTTTCAATTTTTCGAAATTTATGTTTTGGAATTTTAAAATTTTTGATTTTCCGACTTTCTGATTTTTTCAATTTTTCGATTTTACGATTTTTTTGATTTCCCAATTTCTCGATTACATAGTCAATTTTTTCATTTTTCGACTTTTCGATTGCTCAATTTTTCGACGTTACGACTTTTTGATTTTCTGATTTTCCCATTTTACGATTTTTTGATGTTTTGATTTCTCGATATTTCAGTTTATCAATTTTTCAATTTCTCGATTTTTCTTCATTTATATATTGGAATTTTTTCATTTTTTAATTTTTCAGTTTTTCGATTCTTCATTTTCTGATTTTTCAATTTCCGGCTGTTCGATTTGTTGATATTTCGGTTTCTTAATTTTTCGATTTTTCTATTCTTCACTTTTTCACTATTTTAATTTATTACAGGTTTTTCGTTTTCTCGATTTTTCAGTGCTTGGATATCTCTATTTTTTACTTTTTTGAAGTTCAAAGTTTTCGATTTTCCTGCTTTCTGATTTTTCAATTTTACGATTTTTTGATTTCTCAATTTCTCGTTTAATCGATTTCTTGATTTTTCGACTTTTCGATTTCTTGATTTTTCGTTACAACTTTTTGATTTTTTGACTTTCCAATTCCTACATTTTCATTTCATTTTTCAATTCTTCGATTTTTCAACTTTTGATCTTCTTCTCGATTCTTTACTTTTTCGATTTTTGATTTTTAGATTTTTCAGTTTTTCAATTTCAGTGATTTGGAAGAAGTGTTTATGAAAACAAATACAAAGTTTTCGACGTTGCGATTTTTTGATTTTTTGACTTTCCCATTTCTCCATTTTCAGTGTTTGGTTTTCTCGATTTTTCAGTTTCTCAATTTCTCGTTTAATCGATTTCTTGATTTTTCGACTTTTCGATTTCTTGATTTTTCGTTACGACTTTTTGATTTTTTGACTTTCCAATTTCTTCATTTTCAGTGGTTCGTTTTCTCAAAATTTTCGATCTCTCAATTTTTCGATATTTCGGTTTAAGGATTTTTCAATTCTTCGATTTTTCAACTTTTGGACTTCTCGATTCTTTACTTTTTCGATTTTTGATTTTTAGATTTTTCAGTTTTTCAATTTCTCCGTTCTTCAGTTTTTCGATATTTTAATTTTTTTACTCTTCGAATTTTCAAATTTTAGATTTTTCAGTTTTTCGATATCTCGTTTTATCAATTTTTTTTGTGATTTTAAATATTTCAATTTTATTTAATTTTAATTTTTTTCGGTTTTGGGCTATTTCGATTCTCAATTTTCCGATTTTTTGACTTCTTGATATTTTGATTTTTCAATTTTTCAATGTGTCAGTGTATCAATTTTTCGTCATTTCTGTTTTGGAATTCTTCAATTTCTTGATTTTTCAGTTTTTCCACTTTTCGGCTTTTCAATTTTTTGATGTTTCTGTTTCTAATTATTCGATTTTTCAGTTCTTCGATATGTACCTATTTTGTACTTTTTTTGAAGTTGAGAATTTTCGATTTTCCTGCTTTCCGATTTTTCAATTTTTGGAGTTTTTAAACTTCACGTTCTTCGAATTTTCGATTTTACGATTTTTTGATTTCTCAATTTCTCGTTTAATCGATTTTTTGATTTTTTGACTTTTCGATTTCTCGATTTTTCAACGTTACGATTTTTTGACTTTCTGACTTTCCCATTTCCCGATTTTCAGTGTTTCGTATTCTCGATTTTTCGTTATCTCAATTTTTCAATTTTACGATTTGTCCACTGTTTGATTTCTCAAAATTGAGAAATGAAATGAAATCCATAAAATGAAAAATGTCAAACCTGAAACATCGAAATTTTTCAATTTATGGATTCTTTAATTTTTCAATTTTTCGAAATTCCAGGAGAAGGATTTTTCAATTTTGCAGTTTTTCGACTTTTGGACTTCTCGATTTTTTATTTTTCGAATTCTAAATTTTAGGTTTTTCAGATTTTCGATGGCTCAATTTTTCGCCTCCAATTTTTCAATATTTTAATTTTTGAATTTTTCTTATTTTTAAATTTTAAATTTTTTTTGATGTTTCGATTTCTCGATTTTAGATTTTCCGATTTTTCAGTTTTTCGATTTTCGTTTTATCAATTTTTTGTGAATTTAATTTTTTCCAGTCTTATTTAATTTTAAATTTTTTATGTATATATCTCAATTTTTCGATGTTTCGACTTCTTGACATTTCAATTTCTCGATGTTTCAGTTTTTCAATTTTTCGAAATTTCTGTTTTGGAATTTTTGAATTTCTTGATTTTTCAGTCTTTCGATTGTTCAGTTTTCCGATTTTTCAATTTTTCGACTTTTTAAATGTTGAATTATTCGATTTCTCCATTATTCGATTTTTCGGCTATTCGATTTTTTGATGTTTCGGTTTCTCAATTTTTCGATTTTTCTATTCTTCAGTTTTTCACTATTCAAATTTTTTAGTTTTTTATAGATTTCTCGCTTTATCGATTTTTCAGTTCTTCGATATTTCTCTATTTTTTACTTCTTTGAATTTTAAAATTTTTGATTTTCCCACTTTCTGATTTTTTCAATTTTTCAATTTCAATTCAATTCAATTTTCGACTTTTCGATTGCTCAATTTTTCGACGTTACCACTTTTTGATTTTCTGATTTTCCCATTTTACGATTTTCACTGTTTCGTTTTTTCGATTTTTCAGTACCACAATTTTTCAGTTCTTCGGTTTTTCGATTTCTCGATTCTTCAGTTTTTTGATTTGTCAATTTTTCGATGTGTCAAATTTGGAATTTTTCAATTTTTCGATATTTCAGTTAAAGGGTTCTTCAATTCTTCGGTCTTTCGACTTTTGGACTTCTCGATTTTTGATTTTTTGATTTTTCGGTTTTTCGATTTCTCGATTCTTCAGTTTTTTGATTTGTCAATTTTTCGATGTGTCAAATTTGGAATTTTTTAATTTTTCGATATATCAGTTGAAGGGTTCTTCAATTTTTCGGTTTTTCGGCTTTTGGACTTCTCGATTTTTGATTTTTTGATTTTTCAGTTTTTCAATTTTTTGGTTCTTCAATTTTTCGATATTTTAATTTTTTAATTCTTCGAATTTCAAATTTTAGATTTTTCTGTATTTCAATTTTTCAGTTTTTCGATTTCTCGTTTTATCAATTTTTGTTGTGATTTTAAATATTTCAATTTTGTTTAATTTAAATTTTTTTCGATTTTGGACCATTTCGATTTCTCAATTTTCCGATTTTTTGACTTCTTATCTTTTGATGTTTCAATTTCTCAATGTTTCAGTGTATCAATTTTTCGAATTTTCAACTTTAAAAAAAAATCAAACACACAAGTGATTTGGAAGAAGTGTTTATGAAAACAAATACAAAGTTGGTCAGTTGGCAACAAAACTTGTAGTGTCTAGAATCGTGGGGACAGTTACTTGTTTATTTTAATGTTGGGAATAAATTGTGACGACAGTAGGGACTGGAGCTTATTTTTAATGGCGAGGGAGTTGGCACCGAGCGACTTCAACGATGTGACAGCGTTTTGCAGCGTCAGTTGCGACTTTATGAGTTGTTGGTCAATGGAGGTTAGGTTCTTCCCAGCCTCTCCTATTACGTTCTGGCAAAAACCTTCCACATCTTGGTGCAACTTTCCGTTACACTCTCCTACAACACACTATTAGAACAAATCATCAAACAATCGAACCCTTACGTAATTTCTGGTGGAGAAGCGAGTCACTTTTGTCGCAGTTTTCCTTCCTTGAACTGGCTTCATGGAGCGCCGAAACAGCACTGCAAATGCTTGCGTCGTTCTCTACGACAAAACTCGTCACAACTTTTACCTAAACGTGATCACAGTTACCGTTTTCCGATTCCGAGTCCTCTCCAGTGATGGCCGCCCCCTGAATCGGGGCGGTTATTTTCAGGGGCTGCAAAACATGTTGTCAGGGTGTTTGGAGGTTATGGGTGTTTTACCTCCTTTCTGGGGGTGTCATCTTCGCTGTCGGTTTCGGAAGCCTCTCCACTGATGATTGTTGGTTTGTTCATTCTACTTTTGTGCACAATTTGAAGAAATGGGGGCTTAGAGCATTGTGTCAAACTGTCAAAAACAGCTGATAAACAACGCTTGTGCGACCTCGCACGACGGATTTGATTGGTGGTGCGCATGCTATGTGATGTGATTGGTGGGTTTTGTGGATTGCATGTGTGTTGTGATTTGTTTGGAAATCTGGCTTAAGGGGGAGTTGCACGTGCTGGGTGCTGCCAGATTGTTTTTGCGCGACATGGGTTATTTCAGGTTTTCTCGACGTTTAACCCCTCCCTAGAGTATGAAAAAGTAGGTGTCGCGTTTGCATGGGTTTTCTGGTCTCTATGATTATTAAAAAAAAAATTAAATATGTTTTAGGATGATCGTGCACATGTGGTTTTTTACTTTTTACTCCGCACATATTTTTGTACCTTTAAGGTTTAAATTTCTGGGAAAAAGTTATAAAAGAACATTTTACAATTTAACTTAGAAACTGCTAACCCGCGGAGACCCATTTATTTCCCTTAAAACTGGATGACATTATCTCAAAATTTGTTTAATATAATTATTTTTGTTGCCTTTTTTATTTTTTTTTGTCGCTTTTTTGTTTGCACATTTTGTAAAATTTTTTGTGACGTAGTTTGTCGTCCTTTTTTTATATAGTTTTTTTTTTACTTCTGTTTTGTCATCTTTCCTTCATATTTTTTTAATCCGTTTTTTGTCGTCTTCTTTTTGTTTGTTCCCCTTTTATTCATCTTTTTTGGTCTTTCGGTGTTGCGTTTTGCCGTATTTTCTGTCGGTTTTTGTGGTTTTGCTCTTTTGTTCCTATTTTGCCTTTACTTGTTGCGGTTTTTTGGCATTTCTTATTGCCTTTTCTGTATTCCCTTTTGCAGTCTTTTTATTCACCTTTTTTCGTCTTTTTGTGTTACCATTTTTTTGGTAGCCTCTTTTTTTGTAACGTTCTTTTTATGAGTGTATTTTTTTATTGCCCTTTGTTCGCATTTTTTTTTGGGTTTTAAATTGTATAAAATAACATAGTCCTACACATGTAGTTAATGACTCTGTGTTGAATTTTTACAACATTTTGACAATCTGCCAAACTGAATGCTTTAAAATCTTGGAGATGTTTTAAATTTATGATAAGCATAATAATTTTTCAATCAAAATATATTCAATTATCCCCTCCAAAAAATTGATGACGTCATCTCAAAATTTTGCCGGATAAATACTATCTAAAATATACAAAATATATATGATAAGTCTACACTTGTGATCACTGCGTTCATATTTTTTAGATTTGTTTAAACAGGATGACTCAAAAAAATTAATGACTGAATAATAAGCTGTTAAAAAAATACATTCAATCAGATTTACGAATTTAACTCGTTACTAGGGAAATTTGCAATTTCACACTTTTTAAATTTAACAAGTTTAATTTACAAGTTTAATAGGGGCAAAATCAGTTTTATCTTAGCAAGTGCTAGCCCCGCCCACCCGCCCCCTATTTTCTCAGAGGATATGTCATCTGCCAAAATAAGACTTATCTTAGCAAGTAGTGCTTGCTAACATAAGTCTTATTTTGGCAAATGACATCCTCTGAGGAAATAGGGGGCGGGTGGGCGGGGCTAGTAATTGGTAAGACAAGACTAAAATGTACAAAATATCTTGAGTTTTTACTTGTGACTTATCATTGCATTCATATTTTTTACATTTGCTTATACAGGTGATTCAAAAAAAAAAGATGAATGTATCAGTTTATCAGTTTATTTTATTGATTTAATCAGGAACGGCTCACTCCATTTTCCCAGAAAATTTGGGAAATACCAAACTGTTATTTTTAGTATTCCTGTGTATCAATCAATCCAAGTTGATCTACGTGTCCTTGCAAAAATGTTGTTGACGTCATCACAAAATTCTGTAAAGTAAAAACTCAACTAAAAAATTCTGGATATGTTTCACTGTATTTTAGGTGCGAGGGAACTTCTGTCGAAACAGCTTTCGACCAATTTTTTTGGTAGATTTTGTGACACCTTTTTAGGAAACTTTTTTATTTTTTTTTCTGGTTTTTTAGTCGCCTTTTTTTCTCTGTATTTTTGTCACTTTTTTTACTTTTTTTGTTGTCGTCTTTTACATTTTTGTGATTGTAAATTGTATATTGTTTTATTGTTACTCTCTTTGTTTTTTTTTCACTTTTTTTTTCGTCTTTTTTGGTAGAAATTTTGTTTCGCTTTTTTGTTTGCTTTTTTTTTTGCTCGTTTTTTTTGTCGCTTTTTTCTTTCCCTTTTTGTCGCCTTTTTTGTTCTCGTTTTAAGTCGCCTGTTCTTCATGTTTCTTTGTCGCCCTTTTTCGTCTTCTCTGGTGTATTTTTTGGTTGTTTTTTGCGATTTTTTTTGTGCTCTTTTCTTCAGCTTTTTGGTGTTTTTTTAATCCTTTTTTTGTTCTGTTTTTATCGTTTTTCTTTGATTCCTTTTTTGAATAATTTTTTTTTGGCCATTTATTATTGATTGAATAACTGATCGCCTTTTTTCATCTTTCTGCGTTTTTATTTATTGTGTTTTTTTTTGTTTTTTTTTTATCGCGTTTTCTTTGCTCCACTTTTTGTAACTGTTTTGAACCTTTTTTTCTTATCCCCTTTTTCACTTATCTTTGTCGCTGGTCTTCATCTTTTTGTGCTCTTTTTGGTCGCCTCTCTATTTGTTGTCTTTTTTCTTTTTTTTCCTCGTGTTTTTGTCTACTTTTTTGCCGTTTTTTTCCTGCATTTTTTGTTACCTTTTTTTTGTAAAAATTTTTTCTATTTTTCTGTTTTTACCGCTTTTTCTGTGCTCTCCTTTTTCACGCCCTTTTTTTCACGTTTCTTCATGTGTTTGTGTCGTTTTTTGGTGGCCTTTTGCGTTACCCTTTTTTGTCGCATTCTTTGCTCGCGATCTTGTTGGTGTTTTCTTTGTCGTCTATTTGCCTCTTTTTTCCGCTTTTTTATTGTCGCCTTTTATTAAGGCCCTTTTTTCCTGTTTTTTAGTCTTTTTGGTAATATTTTTTAACTCTTTTTTTTCGCATTTTTTTGTACCCTTTTTTAATTGATTTTTTGTGTTTTTTGTGTTTTAGTGACGGGTTTTTCACTTTTTTTCTGCGTTTTCTTACTTTTTTGCCTTTTTTGGTAGCTTTACTGACGTCGCTTTTTTGTGCACTTTTTGTATATTTTTTTTGTTACTTTTTTGTCGAGTTTCTTTATTTTCTGACCGAGTCAGTTGGCAATCCTGGGTTTTTAGTTTAAATTGGATACTGTGAATTTGGTATCATTTTGCCTTTTTTGGTATCCTTTTTTCAAGTAACGGTTTTTTTTGTCGGCTTTGTTTGCTCTTTTTTTTGTGACCTGTTTTGTCAATTTTTGGCTGCCTTTTTTGTCGTATTTTTTCAACGTTTTTTATCACTTTTTTGTGGATTTTTGTGGTTGCCGTTATCGCCGTACTTTTTTGTTGTTCGCTTACGATTTTTTTCTAATTTTTTAACTTTGTTTCTCTCGCTTTTTTTTGTAGATTTTTGTGATATTTTTTTTGGGGACTTTTTCTTTTTTTGTCGTTTTTTAATCGCCTTTTTTGTAGCTTTTTGGTGTACTTTTTTGCCGTATTTTTCCCTGCATTTTTTTGTCATCTTTTTTTTGACTTTTTGTTGTCGCCTTTGTTGATGTACTTTTTTTTCGTTTTTATCGTTTTCTTGGCGTCATTCCTCACATTTTTTTCTCTTTTTTGATCGTTTCGTTCGCATTTTCTTTGTCGCTTTTTTTTTGCCTCTTTCCACATTTTTTAAAAGCTATTTTTTTATTGTTGCCTTTTTTTTTGAGGACTCTTTTTTGCTTGTCTATTTTTGTTCCGTTTTTTTGTCGCCCTTTTTTGTCCCTGTTTTAAGTCGCATTTTTTTTCACGTCTCTTTGTCGCCCTTCTTCGTCTTCTTTGTTGCCTTTTTTTGGTCGTCTTTTTTTTGTCGTTTTTTTTTGTTTATTTGTTCGTCTTTTTATGTTCCATTTTTATCGCTTTTCTTTCCTCCCTTTTTTTCCCACCTTTTTTTTGAATGATTTTTTGTTCACATTTTTTGTGGTCTTTTTTCAGCTTTCTTTGTCGCCTTTCTTTGTTTTTATTTATTGCGTTTTTTTGTTTTTTTTTATCGCGTTTTTTCGCTCCATTTTTTGTCCTCTTTTTTCAGTCATTTTGTTTTGGACCTCTTTTTGTCAATCTTTTTTTCATCTATCTTTGTCCCTTGTTTTTTTTTTTGTTTTTTTTTGGTCGCCTCTACTCTTTGTCTTTTTTTTTGCATTTTTTTTGTGCTCTTTTCTTCAGCTTTTTGTTTGTTTTTTAGCCCTTTTTTGTTCTGTTTCTGTCGCTTTTCTTTGCTCCCTTTTTTTGAATACTTTTTTTGGCCACATTTATTATTGATTGATTGATCGCTTTTTTTACCTTTCTGCGTTTTTATTTATTGAGTTGTTTTTTTGTTTTTTTTATCTCGTTTTCTTTGCTCCACTTTTTGTAACTGTTTTGAACCTCTTTTTCTTATCCTTTTTTTTTCACTTATCTTTGTCGCTGTTCTTCATCTTTTTGTGCTTTTTTGGTCGCCTCTCTACTTGTTGTCTTTTTTATTTTTTTCCTTGTGTTTTTGTCTACTTTTTTGCCGCCTTTTTTCCTGCATTTTTTTTGCCTTTTTTTTGTAAAAGTTTTTCCTATTTTTATTTTCGAGTTTTTTTTGTCCTCATTTTTATATTTTTTGTTGCCTTTTTTCTGGTTTTTTAGTCTTTTTGGTGATATTTTTCAACTATTTTTTTTCGTATTTTTTGTTTCTCTTTTTATTGATTTTTTGGTGCTTTTTGTCTTTTAGTGACGGTTTTTCCCTTTTTTTCTGTTTTTTCTTCCTTTTTTGCATTTTTTGGTAGCTTTACTCATGTCGCTTTTTTGTACACTTTTTTATAAAAATTTTTTGTTGCTTTTTGTCGAGTTTCTTTATTTTCTGACTGCATCAGTTGGCAATCTTGGGTTTTAGTTGAAATTGGATACTGTGAATTTGGTATCATTTTGCCTTTTTTTGGTACCCTTTTTTCAAGTAACGTTTTTTTTTGTCGGCTTTTTTGTGACCTTTTTTGTCAATTTTTTGGCTGCCTTTTTTGTTGTATTTTTCCACGTTTTTTATTACTTTTTTGAGTTTTTTTTTGTTGCCGTTATTCCCGTACTTTTTTGTTGTTCGCTTTTTTGTAACCTTTCTTTTTACGATTTTTTTCTAATTTTTATCTTTTTTTCTCTCGCCTTTTTTTGTAATTTTTCTGACACCTTTTTTTGGGGACTTTTTCTTTTTTTGTCGTTCTTTATCGCCTTTTTTGTCACTTTTTGGTATACTTGTTTGCCGTCTCTTTCCCTGCATTTTTTGTCATCTTTTTTTTTACTTTTTGTTGTCATATACTTTTTTGCAGCCTTTCTTTTCATCACATTTTTTTCTTTTTTTTGATCGTTTCGTTCGCATTTTCTTTGTCGCTTTTTTTATTCGTTTTTTTACATCTTTTCACATTTTTTGAGGACTCTTTTTTGCCGTTTTTTTTGTAAACCTTCTTTTCGCCTTGTTTTCACTTTTTTATCGTCTTTTTGTGGCGCTTTTTTTGTTTCTTTTTTTTGCTTGTCTTTTTTTGTTCCGTTTTTTTGTCGCCCTTTTTTATCCCCGTTTTAAGTCGCATTTTTTTCATGTCTCTTTGTCGCCCATCTTCGTCTTCTTTGTTGCCTTTTTTTGTCGTTTTTTTGTTTATTTGTTCGCCTTTTTATGTTCCATTTTTATCGCTTTTCTTTGCTCCCTTTTTCCCCACCTTTTTTGAATAGTTTTTTGTTCACATTTTTTGTCGTCTTTTTTCAGTTTTCTTTGTCGCCTTTCTTCGTTTTTATTTATTGCGTTTTTTTGTTTTTTTTTATCGCGTTTTCTTTGCTCCATTTTTTGTCTTCTTTCTTCAGTCACTTTGTTTTGGACCTCTTTTTGTCAATTTTTTTTTCATCTATTTTTGTCGCTCGTTTACATTGTTTTTGTGCTTTTTTTGGTCGCCTCTCTACTTGTCTTTTTTTTTTGAGTTTTTTTGTCTCTTTTTGTGCCGTTTTTTTCTCCTGTATTTTTTGTTGTCTCTTTTTTGTCACATTTTTTGTTTATTTTTATTTTCGCGTTTTTTATCCAGATTTTTATATTTTCTGTTGCCTCTTTTCTGTTTTTATAGCTTTTTCTGTGTCTTACTTTGTCGCTTTTATTATGGCCTTTTTTAGTTCCTCTTTTTTGTTGCCTTTTTTTCACGTTTCTTGTCGTCTTTCTTCATCTTTTTTGTCGGCTTCTTTGGCCGCGCTTGTCTTGGTATTTTCTTTGTTGTCTATTTACCTCGTTTTTTCGCTTTTTTTTTTATTTTCGCCTTTTTTCTTGAGGACTTTTTTGTGTTTATTTTTGTATTTTTGTAACGCCTTTTTTCACTTTTTTCTCTTTCTGTTTTCGCGTTTTTTTGTTCCTATTTTTGTTCCGTTTTTATAACTTTTTCATTACTCCTTTTTCGTCGTCTTTTTTGCTGCCTTTTTTTATTGTCTTCTTTTTGACGCCTTTCTTTGTAACCTTTCTTTTTTTGCTTTTTCTTCTCTTTTTTTTGGTAGCTTTAATGATGCCGTTTTTTTGTGGACTTTTTTTGTCGAGTTTCTTCACTTAATTTTTTTGCTCTTTTTTGCTCTAATTTAACAATCTACAAATATCCTTTTATGTATTAACTTACGGGACTTATCGCAAAAAAATAAAATAAAATTCGCAAAATCAAATTTTAGAATTTATTTCAAAAATTAGATTTGTCTGATCGTACTGCAGGGTCAAAACAGAATATTCTACCACGTGATCAAAAATGATCGAGTCTGTTGGCAATCCTGGATATTTAGTTGAAATTGGTATAATGATGTTTTCTATAATTTTCGGTTGTCAGGTGTCAAGATTGACGTATTGTTGACATTTTTAATTCGCAAAATGTATGCAAAACATAACCTAAATTTATCGCATGTCATGGTTGACATGTCGACAGACTCAGTCATTTCTGATCACGCGGTATAATAAGGGAAATTATTAAGAATTTATTTACTCTTTTGTTGGGGATTGTACAAAGCATATGATTAGGACAATGTAGGGTAACTAGTAAAACATTATTTTTGAATCATTAGCCAACCAACAAATCCAAAAAGTTTATAAAAATGTTTTTCTGTGTATTTTTGGTTGCATAAGCTATAACGTCAAATTAATTTAACAGTAATTTAAATCGTTGAAATGTGTCACGACAATTATAATAAATCAAAGAAAAACGATTCAGTCACAAAAGGTAATAATTAATAAAGGTCTATTAGGTATATGATGTGAATTGCTGGTTGCATAAGTTAAAGCAACATCAATTTAAATTCATCATTAATCGAACAAAACGCCGTTATCGATAGTTTAATCACTACATTGACTAACATCTTATGAGATTTCAAACTTTAAACAATAAAGTGCCGACTTGTTATCAAAATTATGACAACGCTTTCAATAATTATTAATTCATAGAAAACAAAGTCAATAGTCACAATCACAAAGTTCAGGCAGTTCAGGAAACAATAATAAAAGTACTTACTACTTAGAGACTTCTAGTTCTGAAAAGAACTGATTGTTATCAAGCAAACAAAGTAATTTGTCAAACCGACTTCATCCACGTTTTGAAGTATATTGGGTTGCCTACTTATCTCCTAAAATAATTACCCTGTTACCAAAAACGGAAAATAATAACCAGCGCCTACTCCAAATATATATTTAACTCTACACCCGTCAAAATTATCACATTGTGCTTCATTTATAAATGCATGAAAAATCTTGTTGATGCCATAGAATACCCTCCGGTGCGTCCGTATATTCACAAAGCCCAAACTTCTTAAACAAGAAACACTTCGACTTGGGGTTACCCCACCTCCCCTTAAAAGACAACCAATTCGGCAGATTAAAATCGCCCACTGTGTAAATTTCTAAATTCTTCCACGTCTTCCACGGAGTTCCATAACCACATTTGTCCTTTAGTTGCAGAATTTGCGAGTACGTGTGTTCTCCAGGGGCCGGCCACAGCCCGTGGGACCCTGTGGCAGAAAATAACACCGGATGCCCACCCTGGATTCGCACAATGGGGGGAAGTTTGGGTTTCAGTACTTTTCTATATACATCTAACTTGAAGTGTTGCTGGTGGGGTGCTAGGGTGTAGTAGCCACCAGTGTTATGTATGGCAATGTACATTTCAGAAGGGAAAGGGTTGCCATTGAAGAACAGAGTCATGTGTTCCCAGTCGCCTACGTGGGAGCCTATAGTAGTCCTGTGGCCAAAGCAGCGACCAAAAATGGGTACCACGGGAACTTTTCCTGAAACCAGTGTATCAAAAATCTGGATTTCAGTTATTTGTTGTTTACCTAGAAAACATATATCTTTTCCTTTGTTGAATGGGTAAAAAGTCCAATATGAGACGGAAAAGTATAAGTTGGGGTTGGTTTTCTTGTAGAGGATGTTGGCACGGAACGAACTGTTGGGAGAACATGGTGATATTATCGCGTAAGTAGGTACTGAATACATCTTGGGGATATGGCCATTAAGGAAAGAATTTCCAGATTTTATTAAACTATCTAAAATATAAACAAAAGGACATGAATTGAATTGTCGCTTCATTCTAGAAGAAACTTTTGCGTCTAAATAGTTCTACTACTTTTAAAAACCAAGATTCGTCTTGTTATGAAAAGTAGCGTTAAGTTTACTTACCTAAATCACAAGTTGTGACTAGTTGTAACGACTTGGTGTTGTACTGAGGAATATCGGTCCCATTAATGGGCAACATTATAGTTTTCCCATTTTCGTTAACTAGTTGTACATTTTTGAGGAAGTGGTTAATGCTTGACGGATAATATTTTTCTTCAGGTGATATCCATACAAGCGGAGCCCATTGAATGACTAGTTGTTTTACTAAAATAAAAACATAACTTATGTAATGTGGAGTAGAAAGTTTAACAAAGCGTTTTGAATACAAAGCACTTAAACGTAACTGTTGTTGTGAGAAGGACAGCGGAAGTTCATTTTGCGTGAGTACTTTTACTTAGAAGAAAGTCGCCAAATATTTATGTTTAACATAAACGCAATTATTTGCTTAATGTGTAAAATTAGAATTTTTACTAAGTGTGTAAAAATATGGGGTCCAGCAAGGCGCTGTTTGTCCCCCGTATTATTTAGCTGATTCAGCAGTGACGTAAGTTCAATTTAAAATATTAAAGTCTTGTGACGTTTGTCTATTCAGACACCACCCAGTTCTAGACTCCTTCTAAACAGCGAAATAAATTAGGCTGTGACACAAATCAATAGTAATCTGAGGACGGTCACACCGTGGGTGAATGCAATAGCTTGAAAATTAACAATCATATTGTACCAATAAAAGTTTTGGTGGGGTTCATTCCTATTCACAGAACACATGTACTATTGAAACATGTGTAAATTTCAAGGTTGTATTCACGAAAATAATTGTCCGTACTTGTTAGTAAAATAATTTACTTAAATGAGCAAAAATTACATATCTTTGTAATAATAATGTGTGCTATTGTAAATTATACCACGTGTAGCAATCAACAAAATTTGAGCACGTAACTGTATTTATTAATCGGATTACCCGAAACAAGTGGAGCTGAACGTTCAAGGTGGGCTTTTATTTGCTAATTGTTGTTATTTGTAAACATTGCAAACTAAGTATGTTGCAAGTTAATAAAATACCTGTACTTGTGGTGTATGAATCCGCCCTAGACATTCAGATGCTCGTCACCTAATAACGTGAAGGTCAATCAAATTTTATAATCTTTCTGAAACCTGGACTGTAAATCAGGGGCGATGAAGTTCTGTTTAAATAAGCTTATTTTTTTATTGTGCTATAAGGACTGAATTCGGTCAAATTAGAGAACAATGCTCTATTTTATCGTCAATAATGGACTAATTCAAACTAACTTCATAGATTAATAATTATGGAGACCAATTAAAAACTGACGATGCACTTAACAAGTAATTGCAGCGTAAATGTATTATATTTTGTCTCATTTTGTTGTTTTATGTTTTTGTAAAGGGAAAATTACTGGATTTTGATATTTAATTTAGCAATATTTGAAATTTTACAATTAAAATTCAGTAAATCAGATTTTTTATATAAAAATTCGTTGACTAATAAATCAACATATATAGGCTGTCCAAAAATAGCGCACCAACACTATGACACGTTGCTTAAGACTGTTTATAGAGCAAAGAAAAAAATATCAAAAAGACTCTTGGTCCTAAATGTACAAGTTTAGGATATCTGTATCTATATTTATCTATATAAATCGATATTTTCTTTTTAGATATAAGGGGACGTCAAATTAGCGATTTTTCTCGAACTTAGACTTGCGAACTTAATAACGGACCGTTGACCGCCATTTTTTGAGCACCCTGTATAGGTATAGTTAGAAATTTGAAGGAGTGATCTATGAAATCTCAAATTTTTCCAAGTAATTTAGTGTAAATTGAAATAAAGTAGATTAGAAATAGACCTTCTTATTATTAATATTATACCGTGTGTTCCAAAAATGACGCATAAGCTCGATGGTACGTTGTTAAGAAGGCTCTGAAAACTTCCGAGTTGAGAATTAACTCTATAATTCTGATTTGTTTATATACCGTTATATACCGCGTGTTTGTTTCTTTTGTTCGATACACCCTGTAACGCTTTTATTTTTAAAGATAAACATAGTTCTTTGAGCAAATTTGTTCCATTTTAAAAGATCACTTAGTGGAATAAATGACATGAGTGTCAATTTTTCAAGCTATTAGATTGTCATGAATAAATATGAATTTTTCGTCTATTGATTTTAAAATGTTAAGATTTTTAGAAAAAATAAAGTTAAGGTCATTTCCGGTTCTTGCAGAAGTGACAATAAAAATGTGAGGTTACCATCACGTAGATCTTTTAAAATGATACAAATTTGCTCCAAGAACTACAGCTTTATCTTTAAGAATAAAAAGTTACAGAGGTTGTATCAAATAAAAAAAAAACACCCTGTATACACTGACTGGCAAAAACACCCTAAATTTTTTGTAAGTCATTGACCTGTTTTTAGGTTTTACAACTACAGTTTTTTTGAAATTACAATGCAACGTTGTCACATTATTTCAATTTTCTAGAAATTTTTTGGGTTTACAAAAAATGTTATTTTTAAGATTTGTGTTGCCGTATTTTATAAATATAGGTACGAATTTTGTTGCGGTATAAATAATATTGAGTTTTCATATACAGAGTGTTTATACATATTTTTATTATTTCAATTTTCAGAAACAGATATTTCACTTTTATCAAATAGAAAACCCTCTATTTTATTACTGCATTTTATTCTATTTTTTGTTCTCTTTTCTGTACTGCGATTTTTTACTTTTGTGAGAGACAGATCGACAATTTAGAACGAAAATAAAGGGTATTCTGTTTGAAAAAACTGAAATATGTATAAATATTTTTATAAACACCCTGTATGTTGAAATTTAACGTGTTTGGTACCACACGAAGCGCGTACCCTTTATTTACGCCTTCACAAAATATTGTAATACAGGTTTTAAAAATTACCCCATTGCGTTTTTTTTTTGTAAGCACTAATAAATTTAAGAAAATAGGAAATTGGCAACGTCGCATTATAATTTCAAAAATAAACTCTGTATGTATTTTTATTATAATATATACAATTTCCATTTAAATATTTCACATAGTCGCCTAAAATTGTTGGAAAAACTAGTGACTGTTATTTGAATTTTAGAAAATAAGATGCTCCAGTACTTGTGGTTTACGAATCCGTGTAGAGTTTTTACCATAAACATCCAGATTTTTGGAAAAAAGCCAAAATTGAATAAAAATATTTTACAATTTAAATTTGAAATTGCGAAACTGAATTCTCTAAAAAAATTTCTCGTATTTACTATTTTTACTTTTCATTTTTTCAATTCTTACAATCTTCACTTATTTGATTTTTCGATTTTTTTGCTTATGGATTTTTTTGGTTTTTAGAATTTTCGGATGTTTTAATTTTTTTAATTTTTAATTTTTTGGTTTTTCACTGTTTCGATTTATCGAATTTTATTTTGTTTTTGAATTTTTTGATTTCTCGAGTTTTAGACATGCAAATTTAAATCTTTTAACTTTCGAATTTTCGAATTTCAGATTTCTGGATATCGATTTTCTAATTTTTCGATTTTATAATTTTCAAATTTTTTGATTTTCGAATTTTTGATTTTCGAATTTTTGTTTTTTGATTTTCCGAATTTCCGTTTTATCGATTTTTTCATTCTTCGGTGTTAGTCTTTTAATTTTTTTTACTTTTCAATTACTTGAATATTCAATTTTTCCATTCTTTAATTTTTCGATTGCTCAGTTTTTTCCCTTACGTTTTTTTTATTTGTCGAGTTTTAGATTTGTCGAATTTTCAGATATTAGGTTTGTCTAATTTTGGATTTTTCGATTTCCTCATTTTCACTTTTTCGATTTTTTGACTTCCCTTAACATTTTTTAATTTTTTCGATTTTTCGATACATATTCTAATTTTTGTATTTTTCATTTTTCGATTTCTCGAGTTTTCGAGATTCGAATTTGAAATCTTTAACTTTCAGATTTTTCGATTTCTCGATTTTTCAATTTTTCGATTGGATTTTCGGGAAAAAATTTTCGATTTTTCGAATTTTTGAATTTCAGATTTTTGGACATTCGATTTTATGTTTTTCGATTTTCAAGTATTCAAATTTTTGGATTTTAGAGTTTTTCATTTTTGACTTTTTGAATTTTTCATTTGTAGGTGTTAGACTTTTCAATTTTATTACTTTTCAATTTCTTGAATATTCAATTTTTCCTTTCTTTAATTTTTCGATTTGTCAGTTTTTCTTGTTTTTTTTTTATTTCTCGAGAGAATTTTCAATTTATTTACTTTTTCGATTTCTCCATATTTCAGTTTTTCGATTTTTTGAGTTACCGTAACATTTTTCTATTTTTTCGATTTTTCGATTTTCCAAATTTTGGATTTTTCAAATTTCTGTTTTTCGATTTCTCAAGTTTTTGTTATTCGAATTTTGAATTTTTAAATTTATAAACACCCTGTATGTTGAAATTTAACGTGTTTAATACCACACGAAGCGCGTACCCTTTATTTACGCCTTCACAAAATATTGTAATACCGATTTTAAACATTACCCAATTGCGTTTTTTTTTGTAAGCACTAATAAATTCAAGAAAATAGGAAATTGGCAACGTCGCATTATAATTTCAAAAATAAACTCTGGTTGTGAAATCTAGAAAAGGAACAGTAAAAATATGTAGAATATGTAAAAATACAGGGTGTTATTGAAAGGTACGTACAAAAAAATTGACAGTTCTTCGGGAAGTCTAAGAAGTCTGAAAAACTTATTGTGTGTAAAATTAATTTATTTTAGTAAATCCTAGCAACTGTAACAATAAAACTTTTGTCAAAACTAAATGTTGCCATGGAAACGAGAGATGATTTTTTTATCAGTGGCGTACAACAAATTTGGACATAAATTTTAATAATTTTTATCTCTGAAAGGAGAACACTTTTACCTGAACTTTTAGCACCCATACGTCGAGACCCATTGCCGATTTTATTTTGTACGTACCTTTCAATAACACGCTGTATATAGGTATTCCATTTAAAAAACTAAGTTGTGTTACGTCTTCAAAACCAAACACTCTGTATAGTTAAAAATAACTTTTGAATATAAGTCCTGAAAAAACCATACACCTTTGACTTTTTTCTATCTTTTATGATGAATGAGATGTGTATATACATATACAGGGTGGGTCGCTAAGCGTATATACAGGGTGAGTCACTAAGCGCATGCTCCTCAATATCTCATTAATTGTAGAGATACAAAAAAACGTTCCTGTAAAATTATTTGTAACTATACCGAGTGTTCTGTTTTTAAAACGCAACACACAACTTAGTTTTTTTAAGTCAAACACCCTCTTCTTAGGTTTTCCAACCACAGTTTTTTTTTTTAATACGATGCGACGTTGTCACGTTATTCCAATTTTCTTGAAATTTTTTAGTTCGCAAAAAATCACAGAAGATGATTTTTAAAATCTGTGTTACAACACTTTGCGGAGAAATAAAGAAAGGTACGCTTTTTTGTGGTATATAGAATTTTCATATATAGAGTGTTTATAAAATGGTTTAATTAGTACAATTTTCATATATCGTTTTTTCAAATAGAACACCCTATATTTTATTACATGTTATTCTATTTTTTGTTCTCTCTCTTTATTGCTCAGGAAATACATTTGACTTTAAAATATTTGCAAATAAAGAATTGTTAATTTTTGTTTGAAGGAAATAAAAAATAGATATTTATTTTATTAGGAGTTTAAGTGATACTTTATGTGGCGAGTATGGACGATTAAACGCCGAGCGATAGCGAGGCGAATTAAGTCCATACGAGTCACATGAAGTCATTTAAACTCCGAATGAAATACAATATTTTATTTTCAAACGATTAATCTTCTTTTGAAATGATTATTTCCTATCTTCTTGCTTCATTAAGGATTTGCCTTGATTTCACTTACCATGGTTACTATGGTTGACAACCACTATGATTTTCACATATTTATACTCCGGCGGAGTATAAATGTTTTATTTATACGCCGGCGGAGTATAAGTTCTATTTATACGCCGCTCAAAAACGCTGTCATAGAAATGACACTTAAACCCCGGTAAGAACGTCATATAAGTGTTGAATGTGTTGAATTTGGACTAATTATTTTGCGTTTTTGTATTTATTTATTTTCAAGAATAGTTTTACTCGGTTCTCAAACAATACCTAGAGTTCTGCACTTAATTTTAATATTGAAATTATACATTAAAATGAATTTTTTTTCAAAATATTTAAGCCAAATATTAACTTCAAACCCAAGTTGAATTTAAAAATCACTTAATCGCAAAGCACTACAAAACTGGCTAAATATTGTGATGAGAAAATCTGTGGTAATATTTTTGGACTTTTGAAAACATCGTGAAGAAAAACCTGAAAACCAAATATGCTAAAATTCCCCTTTTCCATTTTTTGCAATATAAATAGTTTTTTTTTTTTAGAAAAAAAAGATAATACCAATCACACACAGCGCAAAATTGCGAAAATTGGGTGACCTAGGGTAAAATCAAGGCAGGGTCATAAATCACAAATATAGGAGTATGTTATTTCATAAAATTTAAACAACATTTACCATGCAAAATTCTGAGGTGATGTGATTCGTATTTATTCATTTATCTTGGTAACAATTTAAGTTAATACTGAGCTCGTTACCGGAACAAGAAAGTCGTTTAAATTTTTAGTCATCACTTAAAACTTTCTTCTTTAGTAAAATTAAATCTGCACACACTTTTAATGGCCATCATTAAATCAGCATGCGGAATTCATCGCGCGTTACCTCACAATAAATCCCCAGATTTAAGCAATACCTGCAGCGCCACGTCCTGAATAATTAATAACTTTCCTTACATAATTCCAACGGAATAAATTTATTTCCTTCCTCCGGTCGATGATCGCATCAATTATGAAAAATCCAACAATACATAAATAAATATTATCCGCAGCCCGCTATCCGATTCCGAGAGCTAGTCCCGGAATTCAGTGCACCGGAACCCGTTCTCTCGTCCCAAATTAGCATTAACCAGAGTTCAAGCGAGTATTTTTTAGGCACTTACTCAGATCGGCGTCATTGGCTTGGAGAGTAGTCAGTCCGAAAGCAAGCAACAAAAACAGCACGACACCAACTGTGACCATCGCAGGAGTGCACCATGTCGGGTACCTTGAGACGATTTGGCGGTGTCGATGATATGGGTCTTAGGTGGGCTACTCTATTTAATCGTTGGAGTGTCAATGCAGCGGCGGATCGAAGAGCGGTACCATCGCTACTGCGACCGGTACCATCACCGGCGTTATGACCTACACAGAGCTGGTTCCAACCCGGTTATTGCTCACGCCACTCTAGCTGGGGGCTACGTTGCTACTGGTCTTTAATTTCGTGTGTACGCTACTTCCGCGTTACGACCCATTCAGTACTCCTCGCGCCGAAATAGAAATTGTGGTAAAGGACGTCACGGTTATGGGTAGGTTAATGGTAGATGTTCGCGCTGGAAATATTTTTATTTGGTGTTTTATGGTGGGTGTGCGTTTAATTGCCTTGTTGGCAGGTTGTATTGTTTTTATTGCGTGTTATTTTGACATAACAACAATAAATTTTACGAACTGTTAATGGCACAATGGAGCGATTTCAGTATAATGAATAATTTTTAATTTAGGTGAAAGAAATCTACAATGGTAGGTTTTTCAAAATTTTGTTACTTATTGTTTTGTTGTGGTGGTAAGCGTGTTTATCTATTTTAATTAAACGAGGTCTAAAAATTAATTTTGGGTCATCGGTTTTTACGTTTTATGCCAATAGACTTCAAGGATCCAAAAACGATGATTTATATTACTCATTCATCAGGGAAAAATTATTATATAAATTAACGAAAAATTTTTGAATAAATTATAACTTATACTGATGGTTCAGATGGGTATTAATTGTGGTTCAAAAATAAGGCAAGTTCGGGATCGATCAGAAAATATATTTTTACTATGATATATACAATTTCCATTTAAATATTTCACATAGTCGCCTAAAATTGTTGCAAAAACTAGTGACTGTTATTTGAATTTTAGAAAATAAGATGCTCCAGTACTTGTGGTTTATGAATCCGTGTTGAGTTTTTACCATAGACATCCAGATTTTTGGAAAAAAAGTCAAAATTGAATAAAAACATTTTACAATTTAAATTTGAAATTGCGAAACTGAATGCTCTAAAAAAATTTTCTCGTATTTACGATTTTTATTTTTCATTTTTTCAATTCTTACAATTTTCACTTTTTTGATTTTTCGATTTTTTTGCTTATGGATTTTTTATTTCTCGAGATTTCGATGCTTGGATTTTCGATTTTTGGTTTTTAGAATTTTCGGATGTTTTAATTTTTTTAATTTTTAATTTCTTGGTTTTTCACTGTTTCGATTTGTCGAATTTTCAATTATTTTGTTTTTGAATTTTTTGATTTCTCGAGTTTTAGACATGCAAATTTAAATCTTTTAACTTTTAGATTTTTGATTTCTCGATTTTTCAATTTTTTGATTGGATTTTCTGGAAGATGTTTTTCATTTTTGATTTTTTGCTTTTTGAGTTTTCGATTTATCGATTTTTCCCTTCTTTATTGTTAAAAATTTCAACTTATTTAATTTCCAATTTCTTCAATGTTTAATTTTTCCATTCTTTAATTTTTTGATTTTGCCGTATTTTTACTTTATGTTTTTTATTTCTCGAGTTTTCGATTTTTCAAATTTTTGAATATTCGATTTTTCGAATTTTGGATTTTTTAATATTCGACTTTTTAACCAAACATCGAAAAATTGAAATAGGGAGAAATCGAAAAAGTAAATGATTTCTCCGTATTTCATTTTTTCGATTTTTTGACTTCCTGTAACATTTCTCTATTTCCTCGATTTTTCGATAATCCAATTTTTGGATTTATCAATTTTCGGATTTCTGATTTTTCGATTTTCTAATTTTAAAATTTTTCGATTTTCGAGTTTTTTTTTACTTTTCCAATTTTCGATTTATCGTTGTTAGAAATTTAAAATTTTTTTACTTTCCAATTTCATCAATATTTAATTTTGATTTTTTTGATTTTCTATTACATTTTTCTATTTTTTCAATTTTTCGATATTCCAATTTATGGATTTTTCAATTTTCGGTTTTTCAGTTTCTTGAAAGTTGAAATCTTTTTGCTTTTACATTTTTCGTTTTTACGATTTTTCAATTTCTCGATTGGATATTCGAGAAAATTCTTTCGATTATTCGAATTTTTGAATTTCAGATTTCTAGACATTCGATTCCTCGAACGTTTAATTTTCTAATTTATCGTTTCTCTAATTTACAAATGTTTCGATTTTTGTGCTTTTGATTTTTGACTTTTCGTATTTTCGATTTATCGATTTTTCCCTTCTTCGTTTCAATTTACATTTTTTTACTTTCTAATTTGTTGAATATTGAATTTTTTCATTTTTAATTTTTCAATTTTTCAGTTTTTTTTACCTTAGTTATATTTTTTATTTCTCGAGTTTTCGAACTTTTTCGATTTTTTCATATTTCACTTTTTCGATTTTTTGACTTACCGTAACATTTTTTAATTTTTTTGATTTTTCGATATTCCAATTTTTGGATTTTGTAATTTTCGGTTTTTTGATTTCTTGAGTTTTCCATATCTCGATTTCTCAATTTCTCGATTGGATTTTCGGGAACATTTTTTCGATTTTTCGAATTTTTGAATTTCAGTTTCTGGATATTCAATTCCTCGAACTGTCGACTTTCTGATTTATCGATTTTCTAATTTTCAAAATTTTTTTCTTCGTTGTTAGAAATTTCATTTTTTTTACTTTCCAATTTCTTGAATATTCAATTTTTCCATTCTTTAATTTTTCAATTGTTCAGTTTTTTTTACGTTACGTTTTTTTATTTCTCCAGTTTTCGATTATTTGAATTTTCGAATATTCGATGTTTCGGATTTTGGATTTTTCAATATTCGAATTTTCAATCCATTTACTTTTTCGCTTTCTCCATGTTTCAATTTTTAGATTTTTTGACTTGTAACTTTTTTCTATTTTTTAGGTTTTTCGATTTCTCAAGTTTTGGATATTCGAATTTGAAATCTTTAAACTTTTAGATTTTTCGATTTTTCAATTTTTCCATCGAATTTTCGAGAACAATTTCTTCGATTTTTCGAATTTCATATTTCTGGATATTCGAGCTTTAGATTTTCTGATTTTTTGATTCCAATTTTTGTATTTTACATTTTTCTATTTCTCGAGTTTTCGAGATTCGAATTTGAAATCCTTTAACTTTTAGATTTTTCGATTTCGTGTTTTTTCAATTTTTCGTTTGGATTTTTGTGAACATTTTTTTGATTTTTCCAGATTTTTGCATATTCGATTCCTCGAATTTCGATTTTCTGATTTTCGATTCTCAAATTTTAAAATTTTTAGATTTTCGAGTTTTTGATTTTTGACTTTTCGAATTTTTGATTTATCAATTTTTCCATTCTTCGCTGTTAGACTTTTCAATTTTATTACTTTTCAATTTCTTGAATAGTCAATTTTTCCTTTCTTTAATTTTTCGATTTGTCAGTTTTTGTTCTTTTTTCTTATTTCTCGAGTCTTCCTATTTTCGAATATTTAATGTTTCGAATTTTGGATTTTCCGATATTCGAATTTTCAATTTATTTACTTTTTACTTCCCGAGCGTAAGCAAAGGAAGTATTGTAATCGAGTCCGTCGGCCGACTCTCTACTTTTACGTTTTCTCGATCTTTCATGACCCCTAGAAGACGAAGAAATAGGTCTCCCATTTCCGTCTGTCTGTCCGTCTGTCCGTCTGTCCGTCCGTCTGTCCGTCCGTCTGTCCGTCCGTCTGTCCGTCTGCCGTCCCGGATTTTTATTAGACAGATAATCTCCGAAAGTACTCGACCGATTGTTGTGAAATTTTGTACTTATATTAAGAATATCATATAGATGGTAAAACGCTAACCAAAATTTGTCTAATCATCCCCACCACTAATGCGATGACGTCACTTCAAAATTGTACATAGTAAATGGGTTTTCAATTGTATAAAATAACATAGTCCTACGCATGTAGTTTACAACTCTGAATCGACTTCATATTTTTGGATTTGGATATACAGGGTGACTCAAAAAAATTAATGAATGCGTAAATTTATTTTACTGATTTACTCAGAAACTACAAAACCGAATGCTTTGAAATCTTGCAGATGTTTTAAGGTTATAAAGAGCATAATAAATGTTTAGTCAAAATATATTTGCTTATCCCCTCCAAAAAATTGATGACGTCAGCTCGAAAGTTTGCCGAATAAATCCTATCCAAACTGTAAAAATATGATGAGTCTGTACTTGTAATTTATCACTCCATTCATATTTTTTGGATTTGCATACACAGGGTGACTGAAAAAAATTAATGAATGCGTAAATATATTTTATTGATTTAATCAGGAACTACAAAACCGAATGCTCTGAAATCTTGCAGATGTTTTAAGGTCATAAAGAGCATAATAAATGTTTAGTCAAAATATATTTGCTTATCCCCTCCAAAAACTTGATGACGTCAGCTCGAAAGTTTGCCGAATAAATCATATCTAAAATGTACAAAATATGATGAGCCTGTACTTGTCATTTATCATTCCATTCATATTTTTTGGATTTGCATATACAGAGTGACTCAAAAAAATTAATGAATGCGTAAATATATTTTATTGATTTAATCAGGAACTACAAAACCGAATGCTTTGAAATCTTGCAGATGTTTTAAGGTTATAAAGAGCATAATAAATTTTTAGTCAAAATATATTTGGTTATCTTCTACAAAAAACTGATGACGTCAGCTCAAAAGTTTGCCGAATAAATCGTATCTAAAATGTACAAAATATGATGAGTCTGTACTTGTGATTTATCATTCCATTCATATTTTTGGATTTGCATATGCAGGGTGACTCAAAAAAATTAATGAAGGCGTGAATTTATTTTATCGATTTAATCAGGAATTACAAAACCGAATGCTTTGAAATCTTGGGAATATTTTAAAGTTATTATAAGCATGGTAAACTTTTGTTCAAAATGTATTTGTTCATCCCTCCTAAAAAAGTTGATGACGTCACCCTTAAATTTTGCTGAATAAATCCTATCTAAAATGCAAAAAATATGATGAGTTTGTACTTGTGATTTATCATTCCATTCACATTTTTTAGATTTTCTTAAGAGGTGGTTCAAAAAAATTAATGAAGTCAATTTATTTTATTGATTAAATTAAAGGCAACACTTATTATTAGTATTACACCCCAACCAACCCAATTTGGTAGACACAAAATTTGTTAAAGGAAAAACTCGGTTGACACATAAGGGTAGCACGCTTATTTACATCGACTTTAACATTACAGACCTGCATTTGTTTTATGCGCTCATTTGGTTCCGCGAATGTGAAATAGACATGTTTATAATCAACCAATTGTGAATTTCACCGTCAAGAATTAAAATAAAACCCAATGTTTTATATAATAAGCGGAAGTCGAAGCAATAAAACCGATGGTCGTTTTGTTTACAGTTTCTCTGCTTGACTCTCACGTATGCTGTTACGCTTGTCATCTTAAATTAAGAATGTTTATACATAAACGATTTTCAGTTGCCGTATACGTGAGTAAATTGTTTCGTTATTTTATTGATTATAAATAATCAATATTCAAAACGACCCAATTCATTTTCCCGAAAATTTGGGAATACAATAATTTTATTCTTAGTATTACACTACATCTATCCCAACTGATATACGTGTCCTTGCAAAAATGTTGGTGACGTCATCGCAATTTTTTTTAAATTCCCACTACAAAAATGTAATGAGAAAAAAACACAATAGCCATGCAGTCGTCAAGTTTCCGACAGCGAGGGAAGTACTGTCTAAACTCTTTAGACCAATTTTTCGATTTTCCGTAACATTTTTCTATTTTTTTGATTTTTCGATTTTCCAAATTTTGGATTTTTCAATTTTCGGTTTTTCGATTTCTCAAGTTTTCGTTATTCTAAGTTGGATTCTTTTAACTTTTAGATTTTTCAATTTCTCGATTTTTCAATTTTTCGATTTTTCAATTTTTCGATTGGATTTTTGGGATTTTTTCGATTTTTCGAATTTTTGAATTTTTAAATTTTCGAGTTTTTGATTTTTGACTTTTCGAATTTTCGATTTATCGATTTTTCCATTCTTCAATTTTTCGATTTTTCAGTTTTTTCTCTTGTTTTTTTATTTCTTGAGTTTTCAAATTTTCGATTTTGGATTTTCCGATATTCGAACTTTCATTATATTTACTTTTTCGATTTCTCCATATTTCAGTTTTTCGATTTTTTCATTTCCCGTAACATTTTTCTATTTTTTCGATCATTCGATATTCCAATTTTTGGATTTTTCAATTTTCGGTTTTTCGATTTCTCAAGTTTTCGTTATTCGAATTTGGATTCTTTTAACCTTTAGATTTTTCAATTTTCCGATTTTTCAATTTTTCGATTGGATTTTCGGGAAGATTTTTTCGATTTTTCGAATTTTTGAATTTTTAAATTTTTAAATTTTCCAGTTTTTGATGGTTGACTTTTCGAATTTTCGATTTATCGATTTTCCATTCATCGGTGTTATACTTTTCAAATTTATTAGTTTCCAATTTCTTGAATATTCAATTTTTCTATTCTTTAATTTTTCGATTTGTCAGTTTTTTCCTTTATGTTTTTCGTTATAATTACTCTTTTGATTGCTCTATATTTCAATTTTTGGATTTTTTGACTTGCCGTAACTTTTTTATATTTTTTCGATTTTTCGATATTCCAATTTTTGGATTTTTCAATTTTCGGTTTTTCTATTTTCCGATTTTATTTTTCGAATATTTCATTAGTTTTTACTTTATAGAACCAAAAAAACAAAAATCGCAAAATCAAATTATATCATTTTTCAAGGAAGCGGAATTTATTGGACTGGGGAAGGCGAGGGAAGTTCTGGCGAAGTAAACTCCGACCAATTTTTAAACACTGGGATAATTTACGTAAACAAAAATAGCAATAGGGTTATTTTTAAAATCTGTTACAATATTTTGTGTAGAAAATAAAATGTAAATTAGAATAATGCGGCAATATTGCATTGAAATTCCAAAAATAAACCGTGCGCTCACCCTGTATATTATAATACTCCATTTTGTAATCATTCGCCACATAAAATCCTTTTAGCAAAATCTAAATAACACCAAATTTCAAGTATATTTTTCAAAAAGATCTGCTTCATAATACTTTGAGCTGACGTCATCAGTTTTTTGAAAGATATGAAGAAATAAAATGCGACTAATGTTATGTATCCATGAATTGTCTTAACTTTCCAAAATTTTTGAAGTTCGTTACCCAATTTCTGAAATAAACTGTAAAATTTGTTAATTCCGATATATATTTTGCAAACTCCCTGTATATTCAAATTTAAAAAACTATGGTTAACTATATTAGACACCTCTTCATTGTATGTAGCAAATCTCGCCTAAATTTTACAAATTAATATACTCCTGTACTCGTGGCTTATGAATCCGCTTTGATTTGTGCGACAATTAGTTCACAATTTTTTTGTGCGATATTCACGTGTTTCATGAGGTTCGAAGTCCATTCTTATTTGATGTTTTTTGCACTGTGATTCACCCATTTACACGAAAATTTGAGAATATTGTAATGTTGTCCTCGCTTATATTTAATAATAATAAAACAAAAATCATCATAAGAACAGCTACCCATAGTAATATTCAGAACTTTTTGCTCCAATAGTATCCTTGGACGTGCTTAATAGTCGCATTCTTTTCCTTCACTGTATAAACATTAATAATGGAAGTTAAACATGTACTGATAATACATTTTTGCCTGTTGATTATTTATTTTATTTTATTTTAAAGTGCAGTGGAGCACTATCTTGTGGATTCAATAAGTTTTCGTTTATGTCAAAATCTACACTTTTAAAGTCGTTAGATCATAATTTTGCATCTTTGAAAAACTTGTAATAAAAGTAAGTGTAGATTTTTTTGTGATTCTAACTAAAGTATTTATTACTATTATAATATATTAAATATATTAATAGTACCTACTAAGGTAAGACTGACATTGGCAAATGACTTTCACTCAAAAAAAAAGACCGGGTGGGTGGGCGGGGCTGACACCGGCTATTTTGGAAAATTGTGACCTGACCTGTTTTTGAGTTAATTTTGTGTCACGGTTTTTTTTTTGAAAATTTGAAAGAATCTTGAAGTTATAGGTATTTCTGTTTGGACAGAATTTGAAAATGCTTTGGAGCCTCGAGTGTATTTTCTTATAATAATACAATTCAATTTCTTAAAGGATATCACCCACCCACCTTCTCTTTTCTTAGAGAGTATCTCATTTGCTAAAATTAGTCTTATTTTAGCAGGTGCCAGCCCCGCCCGCCCACCCTCTCTTTTTTTAGAAGGTATGTTATCTGCCAATATCAGTCTTATCTTAGCAGGTACTAGCCCCGCCCACCCACCCTCTCTTTTTTTAGAAGATATGTCATCTGCCAATATCAGGCTTATCTTAGCAGGTACTAGCCCCGCCCACCCACCCTCTCTTTTTTTAGAAGGTATGTCATCTGCCAATATCAGGCTTATCTTAACAGGGACTATCCCCTCCCACCCACCCTCTCTTTTTTTAGAGGGTATTTCATTTACCAAAATCAGTTTGATCTTATAGCAAGTATTAGCCCCGCCCACCTGCCGTCTCTTTTCTTAGAGGGTATCTCATTTGCCAGAATCAATTTTATCTTAGCAGTTACTAGCCCCGCCCACTCACCCTCTCCTTTCTTAAAGGGTGTGTCATTTGCCAAATCAGTGTCTTATAAATGCTTTTTTGGTTTGTTTATTAATGAAAAATTACAATAAACTGATTTTGGCAAATAACATGTCCTTGAAGAAAGGAGAGGGTGGGTGGGCGGGGCTAGTACCTACTAAGATAAGTCTGATATTGGCAGATGACATACCCTCTAAAAAAAGAGAGGGTGGGTGGGCGGGGCTAATACCTGCTAAGATAAGACTGATATTGGCAGATCACACCTTCTAAAAAAAGAGAGGGTGGGTGGGCGGGGCTAGTACCTGCTAAGTTAAGATTGATTTTGGCAATTATTAATAAATTTTATTAGAGATACATTCTCTTAATTTTCTTACGTTAACTTACTTGTTTTGAATCGGTGCATTTTTTTCCTCAAGTGTCCAGTTCTTTAGACTCCAAGTTTACATAACACATGTCCATTTTTTTTGTTGCAACAAAAGTCCATAAAAATGGTTCAACTGGAGATTCTGTAATTAAAATTATCCAGTATTTAAACAGACTCTGCTTATACTCGTACTAGCTTAATTTTATACAACTAAAAATAGATCTATGGACTGGTTTCTATCGATTGAAAAAAATTTCCTAATTTGCATGCTCTTGGAATAATAATGCAGATGTTTAGCTGAAACATCACGTGTGTGCAGAATATTTTAAAGTTGATTCGAGGCGGTGAAATTTGAAAGTTGCTGTTTTAAATTACAAATTCTGCGATAAAGACAAACTATTACACATTTCTCTGAAACACATTCCAATGCAACAAAAAATCCACAATGTCGCAAATATTTGCATCAAAAATCGACATTTAATTTCTTTATCAATGTTACCAACTCTCTAAATTACCGGTATCAATCCCCGTTGCATAAACCACAACCGACAAAATCAATTCATCATTTCATCTCCGTATCGCGTCAATGAAAAACACTCATTAATAATTTATCGCTCGATAAAACTTTTTTCGGGCCCGACTTTCGTTAATTCGTTTTCTCCGACCGTCCCTGCTCTAATCAACATCTTAGCGAATCTTTGATGTAAAATTAATCAGCTATTAATCCCCAATTTGGGGGAGGAATTTTTCCACTCGAACAAAAAAAGCCGTCGTTTATATAAGTATAAACGGAATAAATAATTATTCCAATGGTTACGTATCTCTAAGCGACGTCTGTAGAAAAAATAATGGGAGGGATCGTCAAAGAAAGTTTCAGCCTGAATTTGCGCGTAATGCGCGCTTTCGGGTTCTACCCCCCAGAAAAACACAAAAATCTGTACAAACTGCAGGGGGTTTTGATGAATGGGGTGTTCATAGTCCTGATCGTGTCCCTAGGGTGTCTCTACCTAGTCCTGGAGGACAACATCGACATAGTCCAAATCGCCGACAACGCCTTCTTGCTTTCAGAAATGGGGTGCTACATCACCAAATTCTACCCCTTCATCGCCAGAGGCGCCCAAATTAAAAAATGCATCCGATTTTTCGAGGCTCCGTTTTTCAGGATATCCTCGCCCAAGCAGAAACTCATAATCGAGGACTGTAACAGAACCTGTCGCAAAATTAACATGATATTTTTGATTTTTGTGTCGGGTTCTGTGACGAGCTGGGCCGCTAAGCCCTTTTTCTGGAAGGATTACAGGCTTCCTGTCGATGTTTGGCTACCCTTTGACGCCTTGTCAGGACCTCGGGTTTATTATCCTGTTTACGTGTTTCTCGTAATAGGTATGAAAATCCGATTATCCTGCAGCGATTTCATTCATTTATAGGGGTGTCGTACGCTGCATATAGCAGCGGAGCGATCGATCCCCTAATTGCAGGTCTGGCTTGTCATGCAACAGGTCAAATCAGGGTTCTGAAGGATAATTTGCAGTATTTGAACGAGTATGCGGGGGAAGAATTGACGAGGAGAAATTATCGGCACGACGAGGGAAATATTTTGAAGTCGAGGATTATTTATAATAAGATTAAGGAGTGCGTTGACCACCATGATGCCATTTTAGAGTAATTTTTGTTGTTGTTGTGGTTGGGTGTAATTTGTACGGTTTTAGGTTTGTCAAATTTTATGAAAAGAGTTTCTCGTTGTCTGTTTTTAGTCAATTCATGGGGAGTATTTTCGTTATTTGTGTGACGTGTCTTCAGTTAAGTATGGTAAGCGTCAGTTTTATTGTAGTGGGCATAGACGGAAATGACATCAACTTTTCTTTTCAAGTAGAGTGCGTTCATTGGATCTGTTTTTTTTTTTTATTTTTTCAGCATTTGGTCTGTAATTCCTTTGGTTAAAAAATAAGACGGCGTTTTTGTGACCTGCTCCACTTTAAATTCTTAGATATTTGAAAAGATTGAAGCCTGAAATCCGGAACGACTAACTAATAGAAAAAAACCTGTAAAGTGTCGACATTATTGGCATTGTGATGGTTTTTCCGGAAATGAAATCAACTTTTTATTGCAAGTGGAGCAGGGTAAGTTTTTAAGCGTCTTATTAGGCAAATTAATGTCATGTATTACAGCACTAAAAAATTAAAAAGGTATCTATTTCATTTAACCTACTTAAAAAACAGATTGCAGTTTATTTGAAAAAAGAAGTTGACTGTATTTGCGGTAAAATTGAAAGTGATATACCCGTTAAGATTAATTTTACAAGAGTTTTCACAGACTACAAGTTCAGGAGTATTTTATTTTATAAAATTCAAATCTAGTTTACTGTAAAAAAATTCAGGGGACCTCATTACATTATTGTTACGAATGTTAAGATAAACTGATAGATATAGATAGACAGTTGACAGGTAAATTGGGACACCCGGTATTTTTCTTTTTTAAATAAGAAGATCAATTTTAATGTTTCGTATTTTCAATTTTTTGATTTTTCAGTATCTCAGTTTTTATTTTTCCGGGGTTTGGCTGTACGATTTGTAGATATTTTAACATCTCTATTTTTCAATTTGTCGATTTTTAAATATTTAATTTCTCAATTATCCGATTTTTCAAGTTTTCAATGATTCAAATTTCAATTTTTCAATTGTTCAATTTTTCCAGGTTTCAGTGTTTCGGTTTTTAATATTTTGATTTTTCAGTTTTTCGTTTCTTCCATTTTCAAAGTTTCAGTCTTTTAAAAAACTAGTTTCCCGAGCTTTCTATTTCTAGATATTTTAATTTTTGGATTTTTCAATTTCTCTATTTTTAATTTTTAAATTTTGCAGTTTTCCGATTTTTCATCTTTCTTCATTTTTTCAATTTTTCATGTCTTAATTTTTCAGTTTTTCTAATTGGCACTTTCTGGGTTTTCAGTATTTCTATTTTTCAATTTTTCGTTTCTTTAATTTTTCAATTCCCAATTTTTCGAGTTTTCAATTGAAAATTTTTGTTTTCCGATCTTTCTTCTAGTAATTTAATTTTTCAAGTTTTTAGTTTCTCTATTTTTAATTTTTAGTTTTTCTTTTTCTTCAACTTTTGAGTTTTTGTCTTTTGAGGAATTTTAATGTTTTGTTTGTTTTATGTCTTGATATTTCAGTTTCTCGTTTTCTAGTTTTTCAAGTTTTAAAATCTTACAGGTTTTTGATTTTTAAATTTTTGCTTGTTTTAGAAAATTTTTGGAAAAATATCGAAAATTAATAAAATAATTTCCATAAATTATGTACATATCAATTTTTGGTTTCTTCAGTTTTTCGATTTAAAATTTTTTGGGCTTTCCATTTTAATTTTTTCAATTCTTTGGTTTTTCATTGATCAATTCTTGGGTTTCAATTTGTTTTGTTTTTCTCTTTTTGGATTTAACAATTTCTTTTTCAATTTTTTTTTCTAAAAAATTTTGTAATTTTTACATTTTTCAATTTTTCGATTTTCAAATTTTCAGCATCAATGTCTCAATTTCTAATTAAATTTTCAGATTTTTCAAGTTTTCGATTTTTTTCGTTTTTTCAGTTTTTAGGGTGTCCCATTTGCAGATATTTCCATTTTCTGCTTTTTTTATTTTTCCATTTATAAAAATTCCGATTTTTGGTTTTTTAATTTTTCAAATCTTCGGGTTTCCAATTGGTCAGTCCTTGGGTTTAAATTTTTTTTATTTTTCACTGTTTGGATTTTACAATTTTTCTATTCTCACTTTCTAGAATTTTCAACCGCCAAAATTTTAAATTTTTACATTTTTCAATTTTTCAATTTGCCAATTTTTCGATTTTATCAAATTTAGAATAACAAAAATTATTCAAATTTTTTGATTTTTTGATTTTAAATTTTTCGGGTTTTCCATTTGTAGATATTTCCATTTTCCGCTTTTTCAATTTTTTCCATTTTTCAGTTTGTCAATTTGTCAATTTTTCGAATTTATTTTTTCATTTTTCGGTTTCTAGAGATTCTGATTTTTTTTAATCTTTCAATTTTTCGATTTTTCAGTTTTTGATTTTTGAATTTCCCGAATTTTAGATTTTTTAATTTTCGATTTTTCAATTTCTAATTTTTCAATTTTTCATATCTCAAATTTCAGTTGTTCAATTTTTCAATTTTTCTATTTTGCAGTTCCTCGGTTTTCAATATTTCGAATTTTCATTTTTTCCTTTCTTGAATTTTTTAATTCCCAGTTTTTCGAGTTTTCAATTTAAAATTTTCGTTTTCCGATCTTTCTTTTCCTAGATATTTATTTAAATTTTTCAGTTTCCCGATTTTTAATTTTTTATTTTTTTCCATTGCTTCAAAGCTCCGATTTACAATATTTTGAGTTTTCTTTCTAAAATATTTCAGGTTTTTGTTTTTCAACATTTGGATTTTTCTCTTTTTGGAAATTTTAATTTTCGTTTTTTTTTTCGATAGTTCAGTTTTTCGTTTTTTTCAAGTTTTTGAGTTTTCACTTTTACATCTGACAGGTTTCCGATTTTTATTTTTTTATTTTTCAGTTTTTTTTGTTTTTTAAATTTGTCGATAATATTGAAAATTAAGAAAATAATTTTTACAATGATGATACAAATTTTGGTTTCTTCAGTTATTCGAGTTTTCCATTTTAACAATTTTTCGGTTTTCGACTCGAGTTTTTCTCTTTTTGGATTTTATAATTTCTTTTTCAATTTTTCAATTTTTAATTCAATTTCCTGTTTTTCAATTTCTCGATTTTTTTCGCTTTTCCACTTTCTCGGGTTTTCCATTTCTAGATATTTCCATCTTTCGGTTTCTTAATTTTTCCATTTTTCAATTTGTCGATTTATCAAATTTCCGAGCTTATTTTTTAATTTTTCGATTTATGTAAATTCCGATTTTTCGTTTTTTTAATTTTCAATTTTTCGGGTTTCCAATTGATCAATTCTTGGGTTTTAAATTTTTTTAATTGTCTCTCTTTGGATTTTACAATTTTTTTTTCGGTTTTTCTATTTTCATTTCCTAGAATTTTCAAGTATCAATTTTTCAAATTTTTCATTTTTACATTTTTTGATGTGCAATTTTTCGATTTTATCAAATTTCCCAGTATCAGTTTTTCAATTTTTTAATGAATTTTCCGATTTTTCAATTTTTCGATTTTTTTCGTTTTTTCAGTTTTTCGGGTTGCCCATTTGTAGATATTCCCATTTTCTGCTTTTTTAATTGTCTCATTTTTCAGTTTGTTGATTTATCACTTTTTCGATCTTATTTTTTAATTTTTCGATTTTTTAATTTTTCGTTTTTTAATTTTTCAAATTTTCAGTTTTCCAATTGATCAGTTCTTGGGTTTTCAATTTTTTTTATTTTTCACTCTTTGGATTTTACAATTTTTCGATTTTTCATTTTCTTGATTTTCTTCGTTTTTTCATTTTTGGAGTTTTTTATTTAAATTTTGTTAATTTTTCTGTTTCCCGCTTGATCAATTTTTGGGTTTTAAGTTTTTTTATTTTTCTCTCTTTGGATTTTATAATTTTTTTTTCAATTTTTCTGTTTTCACATTCTACAATTTTCAACCATAAAATTTTCCAATTTTTACATTTTTCAATTTTTCGATTTTATTAAATTTTTCAATTTTCCTATTTTTCAGTTTCTCGATTTCTTTCGTTTTTCAATTTTTCGGGTTTTCCATTTGCAGATATTTCCATTTTCCGCATTTTTAATTTCTCCATTTTTCAAAATGTCGATTTATCAATTTTTTGACCTTATTTTTTAATTTTTCGAGTTATAGAAATTCCGATTTTTCGTTTTTTTAATTTTTCAATTTTTCGTTTTTCCAATTGATCAATTCTTGGGTTTTAGTTTTCTTTAATTTTTTCTCTTTGGTTTTACAATTTCTTTTTGAGTTTTTCTACTTTCACTTTCTAGAATTTTCAACTACCAAATTTTTGAATATTTACATTTTTCAATTTTTCGATGTGCAATTTTTCCATTTTATGTAATTTCCCAGCATCAGTTTTTCATTATTTCGTAGATATTCCCATTTTCCGCTATTTTAATTTTTCCATTTGTCAGTTTTTCGATCTTATTTTTCAATTTTTCGATTTTTCACTTTTTGTTTTTTGAATTTCTCAGTATTAGGTTTTCAAATTTATAATTTTGCTCGTTTTAGATTTCTCAATTTTTCGATTTTTCAGTTTCTTGATTTTTTTATTTTTTACAAATTTTCGAATAATCAATTTTGGAAAGTATTGTAGTAGGATTCGTATTTTCCTGATGTTTCATGACCTCTAGAGTATGCAAAAGTAGGTTTTCCGTTTTTGCCTGTTGATCTATAGGCTGTCGTTTGTTGTTTGTGTCGATATTTAATAAAATAAGATAATTGAAATGAAACTAACCGTCTTTGTAACTAAATGTAACTACCGAACCAACTACTCTCGATTGTTAAAATAATAAGTTAAATGCAGTCTAAATCCAATTAAATACTCCTGGTATTTTTCAATTATCTAGATAGGACTTGGGGAAAATTGAAATAACTCATGTTACTAATTTTTCAGAATTTGTGTTTCAATTAGTCACAAATGCTTAATTTATACTTGAAAAAAAATAGAAAATGCCATTTCAAACTGCTCAACGCCAGATTTAATTATATATTTTCGTCGAAGTTGATACCATATAGACTTAAACGAACGGCCTGTGTATTACTGGTTGCCTATATTAAAACAGCAAATCTTGCGGCAAATTACACCGGGCATGATTTCCCCGCCCACAAGTTCTTCAACTGATTAATAAACCACGGTTGTTTAAATTTTTAACGATATTTCATGTTTTAGGTGGATCCTTTGACGTTCGGATTTGTTTCCCTAATAATTTACTTAACAACTATGCTCAGCGAAATTTTTCTTTATTGTTACTTCGGCTCCATTCTAATTGATGAAAGCAATAGTTTAACGGACGCCATCTACATGGGAGAATGGTACACCTACGACATTAAAGCAAGACGAAGTCTCATAACTTTGATGGAACGCTCAAAAAGACCCATGGTAGTCACTGCTGGAAAAATACTAGATTTATCTCTGGTCACTTTTACCACCGTAAATTTGTGATTTAGTCGCCTGAGAAATCTAATTTAGTTGGAAATTTTAGATTATCCGGAGGTCCTACTCTTTGTTGGCAGTGTTAAAAAATTACTAATCTTTCAAAAGCTAATAGTGCAATTGTGATAGTCATTACACTAATCCTGCTAAGTAAAGTAACGTCGCTTAAGATTTATAGTTCCGAACTGTCACTTCCATAAGTTGAATATTGTTTATATCTCACTGTAGATCTTCCGCTTTGTTGATAATAAAGTTTTAATTTAATAAAGAATGCACCTATAAGGGTTGTAAATTAATAAATCTTATTAATTTGTTAATACATACATATTTAAAACATCAAAAAACCGTACGATCTCGTTCCGTCGGATACTAGTTCAGCTTTCGTGTTAACAAAAACAGAAATTTACTTGTTTTATTACTTACATTACTTATTCAATTTTAAAATATCCTGTTTTTCACTCTCACTTTAAATTAGTGCTTGAAGTAATTGTGAAATTGCATAGATTACTATCAATATTGTCGTAAATGCTGGTGATTTACGTTTAATTGATGCGTCGTCTTTCATTAAAAAATAATGGAATAAATCGACACAATTCTACGGAGTGCGCAATTACAGGTTCGTCGGGTTTGATTGGCAGGTAGAATAATCGAAGTTATTGTGCTGCGCAAAAGCAAAACAGACCACCTGTATAAAGCTCTCTGGTTTTTTATTCATTACTTCCTTGCCTTCCGAACAGCGTGTATCAGAACTTGCAATGAGAATTATTTGTGTAAAACGCGTTTCTAATTTCAGTGAACAATTTTTATTAATGGTTGGGTTATATTTACCACTGTGTTCTGGTGTACTTAATTTGAAGAACGTCTACTAAATTATTAAATGATAAGTGTTGTATTGTTGAAGTGTTATAATTTCTTGTTTTTAGCTGTTTGCAGGTTGTGTTCGTTGCACTTTCTCTTTTTAATTATTGTACCTACAGATTTATCTTGGAGGAAGCAGACGAAATAAGGAACGTTTAAATAATAATAAAATTCTGGTTACTAGTAATTGTGATTATGTGTGGTAATATTTAGCATCATTAACGAGATGGGTTCATAAATAATGTATTTGATATTTACCAAATATAAATAAATTATTTTTCTACTAAATTGAATGTGTTTGGTATTTTTTTTTAGCTACGTGAAGAGTGGTGTCCACGGGGATTATTATTTTAGGAATGCCGGACAATTATTGTTTATAAATTTTTAAATTTCAAAATTTTTGAAAGGTATTGTTGTTTTGCATGGAAATATATTTTAATTCTAAATAATGTGGATTTGCCTTATGGTAGAAAAATAAACAGCAACTAAATTATCGTAACTGATGGGTTGTATTATCCAGTAGAAACAGAACACTAGTCTTTTTCTCTAAATTTATGTGTATTTTGTAGAATTCTTGACAAATCCAGAAATTTAAGCCAAAAGTGTGTGTTTTTATAAATTATCGAACATGTTAGTGGTATTAAGTACAAAACAGGTAAGTAAAAAACAAAATAAGGAAGAAATAAAGGTAAGCAGAAACAGAATTTTTGGTCTACATATTTTCAGAATAGCTGAATAAATGTACGGTTCAAATTAATGTGTTTAGGTTTTTATCTGTTACAAAAATTATATTTGTTTAATTATTAGGAGTACGAATATAAATTAAATTCGTTAACATAGATATAGGGATTTACTTTAGTACTTGGCTGCAAGAGGGCGTAACGAATAGAAAAACACGATTTTATGCGCCTTGTTAAATTTTGTGAATTGCTGTATGATTGTTTATCCACATTTTTTTATTATACATGTTTTATTGTTGAACAGTGTTGTTCTTCCTGAAATTTAAGTTCTCGTTTTTAAACAAGTTTAAAAAAATCATTTCAAAATAATCCTTGCAATTTTAATTATCACTTATTGGAATTATCAATCATCATCGCCTAAATTTTTATTCTTGAGTCCAAACAGTTGGAATAACAACTGTGATAAGTTAATAAAATAGTAAAAACCAAATGCTTAAATTAATAAGTTTAAAATGAATTTCTGTAGATTAATACCTAAGATCCGAAGATGTGGTAATTCAAATACAAATACATGGGAGGATAAATTATTTATTTGTTTGTTAAATATTTAAGAATATTTGTTTTGTTTAAATTTATTTAAGAATTACGTTTTACAAAAATATTTTGTTTTTCGCTTGTCTATAATGTTTGTTTTATAGCGATGATTACATTTAATGAACTTAAAGCGGCCTGTTAAAAATGTATTCTTTATTTAACTACATGTTTATTTTAAATTCTAGAGTGTCATTTATATTTAAGCGGGCTTTTTATTTTACCTATATATAGCTTTTTACATATTTATTTATTTTTAAGATTTTAAATAAATTTGCATTGTTTTACTTCTCTAGCATAAGCAAAGAAAGTATTGTAATTTTATGACCCCTAGAGTACAAAAAAATAGGTCTCCAGTTTCCGTCTTTCCTCCTTCGTCCTTTGTCCTTTTCGTCTTTTTCGTCCTGCGTCCTTTTCACCTGCGTCCTTTTGTCCTTTCGTCCTTGGTCCTTTTCGTCCTTGGTCCTTTTCGTCCTTGGTCCTTTTCGTCCCTCCTCCTTTGTCCCTTTCGTCCTTGGTCCTGTTTGTCATTCGTCTTGTTCGTCCTTGGTCCTTTTCGTCCTTCGTCCTTTACAACCTTCGCCTTTTTCGTCCTTCACGTCCTGCGTCCTTTTCATCCTACGTCCTTTACGCCTTTCGTGCTTTCGTTCTTCGTCCTTTGTTCTTTTCGTCCTTCGTCCTTTTCATCCTATTCGTCCTTTTCGTCCTTCGCCTTTTCTGTCCTCGGTCCTTCTCGCCCTTCGTCCTTTATGTCCTTCGTCCTTTTCGTACTTTTCGTGCTCCGTCCTTTCCGTCCTTTCCGTCCTTGGTCCTTTTCGTCCTTCGTCTTTTACGTCCTTTTAATCTCTTTCGTCTTTTTCATCTTTTTCGTCCTTTTTGTCCTTTTCGTCCTTGGTCCTTTACGTCCTTTTAACCTTTTTCGTTCTTTCCGTCCTTTTAGTCCTTTTAGTCCTTTTCGTTCTTTTCGTCCTTTTCGTTCTTTTCGTCCTTTTCGTTCTTTTCGTCCTTTTAATCCTTTTCGTCCTTTTAATCCTTTTCGTCCTTTTAATCCTTTTCGTCCCTGTCCTGTTTGTCCTTCGTCTTTTTCGTCCTTCGTCCTTTTCGTCTTTCGTCCTTTTCCTCCTTCGTCCTTTTCGTCTTTCGTCCTTTTCGTCCTTTGTCCTTTTCATCCTTCGTCCTTTGTCCTTTTCGTTCTTCGTCCTTTGTCCTTTTCGTCCTTCGTCCTTTTAATCTTTTTCGTCCTTTTCGTCCTTTTTGTCCTTAAAATCCTTTTCGTTCTTGGTCCTTTTCATCCTTCGTCCTTTTCGTCCTTGGTCCTTCACGTCATTTTAACCTTTTTCGTCCTTTTCGTTCTTTTAATCCTTTTCATCCTTCGTCCTTTTCGTCCTTCGTCCTTTTCGTCTTTCGTCCTTCGTCCTTTGTCCTTTTCGTTCTTCGTCCTTTTCGTCCTTCGTCCTTTTCGTCCTTCGTCCTTTTCGTCCTTCGTCTTTTTCGTCCTTCGTCCTTTTAGTCCTTCGCCCTTTTCGTCTTTTTCGTCATTTTGGTCCTTTTCGTCCTTGGTCCTTTACGTCATTTTAACCTTTTTCGTCTTTTTAATCCTTTTTGTCCTTTTCGTCTTTTACGTCCTTTCCGTCTTTGGTCCTTTTCATCTTTACTTCATTTTCGTCTTTCTCGTCCTGTGTCTTTTACGTCCTTGGTATTTTTCGTCCTTCGTCTTTTCCGTCCTTCGTTCTTTACGTCCTTTTAATCTTTTTTGTCCTTTTTGTCCTTTTAATCCTTTTCGTCCTTCGTCCTCTATGTCCTTCGTCCCTTTTGTCCTTTTTGTCTTTTTCGTCCTTTTGGTCTTTTTAATCCTTTTCGTCCTTTCCGTCCTTTTGATCTTTTTAATCCTCTTCGTCCTGTTCGTCCTTTTCGTCCTTCGTCCTGTTCGTCCTTTTCGCCCTTCGTCCTTTACGTCCTTTTAATCTTTTTCGTCCTTTTCGTCCTTTTCGTCCTTTTCGTCCTTTTAATCCTTTTCATCCTTCGTCCTTTTCGCCTTTCGTCCTGTTCGTCCTTTTCGTCCTTTGTCCTTTTCGCCCTTCGTCCTTTTCGTCCTTCGTCCTTTTCGTCTTATTCGTCCTGCGCCGTTTTCGTCCAAGATCCCTTTCGTCCTTGGTCCTTTACATCCTTCGTCCTTTTCGTTCTTTTCGTCCTTTTCGTCCTTTTAGTCCTTTTCGTCCTTTTAGTCTTTTTCGTCTTTTTAATCGTTTTCGTCCTTCGTCCTTTTTGTCCTTCGTCCTTTTCGTCCTTCGTCCTTTGTCCCTTTCGTGCTTGGTCTTTTTTGTCATTTGTGCTTTTCCTCCTTGGTTCTTTTCTTCCTTCGGCCTTTACGTCCTTCGTCCTTTTCGTTCTTTTAGTCTTTTTCGTCCTTTTCGTCGTTTTCGTCCTTTTAATTTTTTTCGTCCTTTTAATCCTTTTCGTCCTTCGTCCTTTTCGTCTTTCGTTCTTTTCGTCCTTCCTTCTTTGTCCTTTTCGTCCTTCATCCTTTTCGTCCTTCGTTCTTTTCGTCCTTCGTCTTTCGTTCTTTTCGTCCGTCGTCCTTTTCGTCTTTGGTTCTTTTCGTCCTTCGTCCTTTTCGTCCTACGTCTTTTTCATCTTTCGTCTTTTTCCTCCTTCGTCCTTTTCGTCCTTCGTTCTTTTTATCCTTCGTCCTTTTCGTCCTTCGTCCTTTTCGTCCTTCGTCCTTTTCGTCCTTCGTCCTTTTCGTTCTTCGTCCTTTTCGAGCTTCGTCACTTTCGTCCTTCGTCCTTCGTCCACTTCGTCCTTTGTCCTTTTCCTCCTTGGGTCATTTCGTCTTTTTGCTTCGCCCTTTACGTCCTGCGTTCTTTTCTTCCTTTTCCTCCTTCATCCTTTACGTCCTTTTAATCTTCTTCATCCTTTTCGTTCTTTTCGTCCTATTCGCCCGTTTTATGTAGATTTTTCTTGCGAAAATTTGGATCTAAGGTTATTTAAACAAAACTCCCTCTCTCCTAAAGTACAGTCCAACAAATCCTGCTTCTTCGAAGAATTATAATAAAATTTGATTTTGCGATTTTATTATTTTTTTGTGATAATTCCTAAAAGTTAAATAAGTATAGGTGTGAACTGTTAAACGTAAAAAACATTTTATGCACATGTTTTAACGGAGTTTTTCAAAATAAAATGTGATATAAGAATCAAGATTTTAACAAGAATAAGTAAAACAAACAACTGCAAAAAACAGGATCAAAAATCGACAAAAAAGCTACAAAAACTACAAATCACTTAGAAAAGGAGGCAAAATCGACGCTGTGGTGACCGAATTTGAATTAAAATTTCGCGCTGAAAATTTTTAGCAGCGGCACGAAATTACATTCGAAAAAAAAATTCAATAAAAAAATCGTTGACAGGCAACCATGTGCACGTTAGCGCTTTCTGGGTAGTGGGTAGTTCTGCTTGAAATTTTAGTTAGAGGGTTTTTAGAAGATGGCGGCTTGGTAGGGAGGTAGGCTTCATTGTGTGTTGTGTGGTGTGAGTGAAAACCACGTGGTAAGTTAGCTAGGTTAAGTTAGTTGGCTTGGTAGTTAATAAAAGGGAGGAAGCCTTAGTTTAATGACAATTAATCGTAACGACGACGAAGCCATAGTTTCCAAGCGTAAATAAGTGAATTTTCGACAGACGCTAACACGTGTAAATTTGATGGTTTGTAAACTCACAGTTCATGTTAGGATTTTAATCATTAACTGGTTCTAACACAAGCTTAACCTTCAGAGATTGTTCCGATAAAGTACTTGCTAGGAGATTTTTTGTTTATTTATCATGTGTTACAACGCTAAAAAGGTAAAAAAGGCGCGAAACAAACGTGTGTAAAAATCCGACAAAAAACGCGACTAAGAAGAACTATAAAGAAAGATAAAAAAGGGTGATAGAAAAGACCTATAAAAGGTGACAATAAAGAACTAGAAGAAAAGCAGATTAAAGACAAAGGTTAAAAAATGCAAAAACAACAAAAAAGGCCACAAGAAAAAGACTAAAAAGGGTAAAAAATCAGATAAATAAACTGTGTGTCGCTTATAGATTGTCGTTTATAAAGTATGGCGTTCACGATTTTGTAAAAGATCGCGTTCAGAGTGTAGGTACATAGAAATTATTGCGTTTAACATTTATAAAGTAGGGCGTTCAGAATGGATAAAGTACGGTGTCGGTCGTTTATAAAATATAAATAAATAAATATTCAGAATTTATTTGTCAAGAATAAATTTATCTTAAATAATCCAGTTAGAAACAAATTTGCTTCGTTTTATTATTATTATTATTAATACAAAACTAAGGATGGAGGTAAAACCTATGCATTACATTTAAGATTTGTTGAACCAAAATCTTTATTTAAAAAAAAATTATAGGTAACAATTAGGTTAAATAGTCTGTCAAAATCGAGTATTCGTATCATTTTTTGTTTAGTCTTTAGTTTCTTATTAATATTAATAGTTTCTCTTTTTTCGAATTTTTATTGTTAAAGGGAGAATTCCGTTAATAAATTATGTGTTTAGTTTATATGTATATAAACTAAATTAAAATTGGACGTAAATATTGCTAATATAAAATAAAAAAAATTAGGCTAAAATAAAGGCGGATTCATAAAATATAAGTATAAAAGCACGATATTTTATGAGATTTAAATAACATTTACTATGCAAAATTTTAAAGTGACGTCATCACATTGTCATGGAGACGATTAGACAAATTTTGATTATCATTTTATTAACTACACAATATTCCTAAAGAAGACCTCAAATTTCTCAGCAAGGAATATTTTTAAATTACAAATACAGGGTGACAATTTTATTATATAAAAATTTAAATAACATTTACCATGCAAAATTTTGAGTTGACGTTATTAAATTGTTAGTGGGGATAAAATGATGTGCAATGTACATCTTCAAAATGTGTCAAAAAATTATGTGAATAAAAAGAAGTATTATTCGTAATTTTTGAGATTTCATTAAGTAAATGCAATAATAATAAAATTTAATAAAAATGTTAAGTTGTTTATTTTTTGTGTTATTATAATTTTGAATATCTCCCAGAAAATTGTTACAGCATTAATAATAACCATTTCAAAACTCCGTTTCTTCAAATTTTAGAATTAATGAATATCAATTAAACTCGTTTTTCAAGTGTCTTATTGACTTTGCAATTAAAAATTTTGCTCATCCATAATGAAGAAATTTTTATCAAAAAAGTCATCATAGTAGGAGAACCATCGATAAAAAAATAATATTAATTAAGAATTGAGAGAAAATATAGATTTATTCGATTTCACAAATTTTTTTAAAAATTTCGAGATATCGCCACAACAATAAATCTAAGGACCTCAAATCTGGGTTGTGAGCTGGCGACCAAGCAGGGTTTCTATTACCGATTTAATTTTCATAATACTCCTAAATGTTTCTTAGAAATAATTTTAATTTTTCACTAATTAGAGTACTTACATTCGTCGAGATCGTAATGATAACACTAAAATAAATATTTAACAAACTTAAATATTGTATTGCTTTGAGAGGATTAATGTGATTATTCTTGTGCATAACTACATGTAACTAGACTCTCTTTTGTGGCTTACTTGTATAAAATATAGGACACATTAAAAAACAATTATTACCTTTTATTATAGAAAGCAAATTTCAATCATTATGTCATTATCACTACATTTGTAATTTATGCACGAGACGTCTTAAACCACTAAAACGACACCCAACATCACGTTTACGGTATTCTTTGTCTTTACCGCCACAAACAGCATTAGAAATTATATCTGACAATAAATCATTTATTAATGTGCTACTTGGTCCAATTAGAGTTTTCCAGGTTTCGTGTTACATCCGCTCTTTAATTTCACTTCTCAAAAGTCTTTGATCTAAAATTAATATCTATAATTCAGTCCAATCGTCTAAAAACTAAAAAAACGTCAACTACTTATTTAAACGTCAGTGCACCGTTCCAACACATTTGTTGCACCGCCATGACGCAAGTAATACAAGAGAGCTTTTCCCTCAATTTACGAGTAATGAGAGCTTTCGGCCTCTACTTACCAAACAAACACACCAATCTGCATAAGCTGCGAGCTTACTTCATGTATTTGTTCTGCATAATACCCGTGCCGGTGTTCGGGTGCCTCTATTTACTGATTGAAGAAGACGTAGATTTGATGAAAGTGTCCGAAAACGCTTTTCTTTTAGCCGAAATGGGTTGCTACATCACTAAATTTTTGCCACTTTTACGAAGCAGCAAAGAAATCAAGGAGTGCATACTTTATTTCGACGCGCCACAGTTCAGGAAAATTAACGACACTCATAGGGAGATTTTGGACGATTGCATAAAAATTTGTCGCAGGAATACAAAGATTTTTTTAGTTTCGGTAGCCGCAGGTTTGGTTAGTTGGGCTGTCAAGCCCTTTTTCTGGAGCAAGTACAGGCTACCGGTTGATGTGTGGATACCTTTTGATATTGATTTTACGCCTGTGATTTATTATTCTCTGTATGTGTGCATCGTTCTACGTGAGTAAATTTTGTTTTTTGATTCGTGGTTAATTTTTTTTGTGGAATTTTAGAAGTTTCGTATGCTGCGTTTAGTAGTGGTGTGACTGATCCGTTGATAGCGGGACTTGCTTGTCAAGCTACGGGTCAATTGAAAGTACTTAAGTACAATTTGCAAAATCTCGCCAAAAGTGCAAATGTTTATGACAGTATTAAATTTTGTGTGGATCATCACAATGCGATATTGAAGTATTAGTTTAATTTAGATCTGAAATATTTAAAGGAAAGTATACTAATGATGTTGTAGGTTTGTCAAAAGCTACGAAAGTTGCTTTTCTATGGTTGTTTTCAGCCAGTTTGTCGGAAGTGTGATTGTAATTTGTGTATCTTGTCTACAGTTGACAATGGTGCCAAAAACACAGGCATGTCAAGGTTTTAGTTAATTAATGGTTGTATTTTAGACGGAGCCTCTGAGTTTCAACTTTATAGCGATGACGATGTATTTGATTCCAATGTTAGCCGAAATCTACTTGTTTTGCTACTATGGAACGACTCTCTATGACGAGGTTGGGAAACGGTTGTCTAATGTTTTGGTTTTGTAATCAAGAATTTTTTAGAGTGATAGTATTACTGAGGCTATATATATGGGAAAATGGTACGACTATAATGAGAATTCAAAAAATGCCTTGCTGGTTTTAATGGAACGAGCTAAAATGCCGATGGTTGTTACAGCTGGGAAAGTTTTAGATTTGTCGTTAGTGACGTTCACAATGGTAACAATCGAAAAATGATGCTTTTGAAAAAATAATTTTATTTGTTTTAGATTCTTAGAAGATCTTATTCTTTACTTGCAGTTCTTCAGAATTACAAATGAGAGACCCAGATTTTTGAAGCTTTTCGGAAAAATATACTTCAAACTTGAAAAAAATTATGTGAAATTAAGAAAATATTGTTAATGGTAACTTTTAAAGTGCACTTTTAACACTAAAAAATTAAATAGGTCTCTTTATGTACTTTTTACTTTTATGATGCATACGGTATGTGGAAAAAAATGTATACTAAATGCAATAATATAAATAATTTAATAAAAATGGGCCAATGTTGGTTCAGTATTAAAAATTTGTTCAAAATGCTGTTTCTTCAAATTTTAGAAATCGTTTTTCAAATATCCGTGGTTATATGTATTATTACAAAAAAAAAACAATAACAAATGAGATGAAAGTTGACCCAGTTTTCTACATATTTTGGATAAATAACGTGGAAAAAAATATTGTTTGTGCACATTTTGAAAGGGTGCTGAAAAAATTACGTAAACGTTTTAAAAATTATTATTCTAAATTTTCAGAAACGCATTTTTTACACTAAAAAATAAATTTGTTTATTTGAGTACATTGTATTTTTATGATGCTTGTGACAAAATGTTGGAAGCTATTTTCTTTTGCACATTATATTTAGGGACAATTTTTGAACATTGGATTAAATATATAACTTTAAATGTCTCCCAAAAAGTATTCAAAATTACTGTTAAAGAATTCAAAAATATTTGAAACCTTCAAAATAGAATTTTCTCAGATTTTTGAACTAAAGGATGTCAATTAAATTCCATTTTACGAGCGATAAAAATGTTGTTACCAAAATCAGTCTTATCTTAAGAAGTACTAGCCCCGCCCACCCGCCCTCTATTCGCTTAGAGGGTTTATCATTTGCCAAAATCAGGCTTAACTTAGCAAGTATTAGCCCCGCCCACCCACCCTCTATTTTCTTAGAGAGTATGTCATTTGCCAAAATTAGTTTTATCTTAGCAAGAACTAGCCCCGCCCACCCGCCCTCTATTTTCTTACAGGCTTTATCATATGCCAAAATAAGTCTTAACTTAGCAAGTATTAGCCCCGCCCACCCACCCTCTATTTTCTTAGATACCATGTCATTTGCCAATATTAGTTTTATCTTAGCAGGATAAAATCTACCTTTCATTCTGATACAATGAATCACTAAAATGAAGGCGGGGTAAGTGGGCGGAGTTAATTATATGTTCTTCTGTAAAGTGGCAAGAAATTAATAGAACCTGGAGTGTTAAAAATAGAAAAAAGAACGCCAATCGTATTTTTTTTTTGTTATACTTACCAATTTTTTTAGGCGGATTTAGATAAACGGTAGATATTTTAGAATAAATTAAGCTGAAAAAAAATTCTGTGTAAAAATCAGCAAAAATTTCAAGTTTATAGACCTCGACGTGCTCCGGAGAACATTTTCGAAATATTCCATTTGAACATCCAGATTTTAAAAAATCCTACAAATTGTCAAATTTCATTGAGGAATTCTGAAAAAATAGCAGGAATTTTCGAAGAAATAAAGCCAAAAATAACTTCTGGAAGTTGAAATCTAGAAAAACATCTTTGGGTAATTTTCGAAAACGATTGTAAAAATGTCATAAGAGAGAAGTACTGAAAAATTTTGAAAAAATTGCTCAGAAATCCATAAAAAATTCAGAAAAGTAAATCTCAATGTAAGAATTCGATAAATAAAAGGTGTTTAAGGACCAGTAGTAAGATTTTTGAAATATTGTAAAATTGTAAAAATGTCATAAGGGAGAAGTACTGAAAAATTTTGAAAACATTGTCTAAAAATCCACAAAAGATCTGGGATAAAGATCTCGATGTACCGTTTCGAAAAATTTATCCTGTTTGAGGTCCCGTAACAAGATTTTATAAATATTCGACTTGAACATCAAAAGTTTTTAAAATTGTGAAAATTTCCAAATTTCTTTGGGGGATTTTGGAAAAATGTTTGGCATATTCGAAGAAATAAAGCCGAAAATAACTTTTGGAAATCGAAAACTACAAAAACATTTTTTTTTAATTTTTCGAAAGTGAAAAAAGAGCAAAAATTTCATGAGGCAGGAGTAGTGAAAAATTTTGAAAAAATTGTTCAAAAATCCATAAAAAAATTCAGAAGTGTAAATGTCAATGTAAGAATTCGATAAATAAAACGTGTTTAAGGGCCCGTAGTAAGATTTTTTAAATATTCGTTTTGAACTTTGGAAATTTTAAAATTCTAAAAGTTACTTAATTTTTCTAGCCGGTACTGGAAAAATGATAGGAATCTTAGAATAAATTAAGCTGGAAAAAATTCAAGGATAGAGATCTCGACGTGCTGATTCGTACGTAAAATATAGCGTTTTATGGCTGCGGAAAACATTTTCGTAATATTCCATTTGAACATCAGGTTTTAAAAAATCCTACAAATTGCCAAATTGTATTTAGCGATTCTGAAAAAATAGCAAGAATTTTCGGAGAAATAAAGCCGAAAATAACTTCTGGAGGTCGAAATCTAGAAAAAACCCTTTGGATAATTTTGTAAGTAATTGGAAAAAGGTCTAAAATTTTTTAGAAATGGGAAAGTACTGAAAAATTTTGATAACATTGTTTAAAAATCTACAAAAAATCTGGAATATAGATCTCGATGTACCGATTCGAAAAATTCAGCGTGTTTAAGGTTCCAGAACAAGATTTTCTAAATATTGGACTTGAACATCAATATTTTTTAAAATTCTAAAAATTTCCAAATTTCTTCAATCGATTTTGGAAAAGTGGTTTGAATTTTCGAAGCAATAAAGCCGATGATAACTTCTGGAAGTCGAAAACTACAAAAAAGATTTTTAGGAGAAGTAGTGAAAAATTTTGAGAAAAATGCCCAAAAATCCATAAAAAATTATGGGGTGTAGATCTCGATGTAACGATTCCAAAAATATAGCGGGCTTAAGGTTCCGGAGTAAGATTTTCGAAATATTCGATTTGAATATTGGAATTTTTAAAATTATCAAATTTACCAAATTTTTTTAGCCGGTTTTGGAAAAATGCTAGGAATTTTAGAAAAAATTAAGCTACACAAAACTTATGTGTAAAAAATTAGGAACAAATTCAATTTCAAAAAACTCTTGAGGTGCTGATTTGTAAAATATAACGTTTTTATGGCTCCGGAGAACATTTTCGAAATACTCCATCTGAATATCAAGATTTTAAAAATATCCTACAAATTGCCAAATTTCATTGAACGATTCTGAAAAAATGGCAAAAATTTTCGAAGAAATAAAGCCGAAAATAACTTCTGGAGATTGAAATTTAGAAACAATTTCTTTGCGTAATTTTCGTAAGTGATTAGTAAAAGGTCTAAAGTTTCATAAGGGGGAAGTACTGAAAAATTTTGAAAAAATTGTCTGAAAATCCACAAAAAAAATCTAGGATATAGATTTCGATCGTTTTTCAAATATCCGTGGTTATATGTATTATTTTCAGAAGTCTTAAATGTGTCGATTGTCATTAGATACAAAATTTCCGAAATGACTGGACCGATTTTTGTGAAATTTTCGAAAAATCAAGGTTGATTTATAGACGATAATTACAGAAGTATGTTATTTCATAAACTTTAAATGACATTTATAACGCAAAATTTTGAGATGACGTCATAAAATTCTTGGTGGGGATGATCAGACTAATTTTGGTTATCGTTTTGTTGGTTACATGATATTTCTAGCATGGATACAAAATTTCTCAAGAATCAAATAATCTAGTAGTTTCTGAGATTATCCTCGTAATAAAATATAGACACAGATGAGAGACAGACGGAAGACAGGTAGACAGGCGAAAATGGGAGACCTACTTTTTCATGCTCTAGGCACCATGAAACGTCTAGAGAACATGAAAATAGCCATCGCTGGATGGACGTTATTACAATACTTCTGGAAATAAAAAATAATTTGTAACATCTAACTGCTTATCTAAGAAACTACAAAAAAAAAAACAATAACAAATGAGATGAAAGTTGACGTAGTTTTCTCGTATTTCGGATAAATAATGTGGAAAAAAATATTGTTTGTGCACATTTTGAAAGGGCGCCGAAAAAATTATGTAAACGTTTTAAAAATTATTATTCTAAATTTTCAGAAACGCATTTTTAACACTAAAAAATAAATTTGTTTATTTGAGTACATTGTATTTTTATGATGCTTGTGATAAAATGTTGGAAGCTATTTTCTTTTGCACATTATATTTAGGGACAATTTTTGAACATTGGATTAAATGATGATTTCTTTGTGTTATAACTTTAAATGTTTCCCAAAAAGTATTCAAAATTATTGTTAAAGAATTCAAAAATATTTGAAACCTTCAAAGTAGGATTTTCTCAGATCTTTGAACTAAAGGATGTCAATTAAATTCCATTTTAGGAGCAATAAAAGTGTTGTTACCAAAATCAGTCTTATCTTAGCAAGTACTAGCCCCGCCCACCCACCCTCTATTTTATGAGAGGGTATGTCATTTGCCAATATTAGTTTTATCTTAGCAAGATAAAATCAATCTTTCATTTAGATACAATGAATCACAAAAATAAAGGCGGGGTGAGTGGGCGGAGTTAATTATATGTTCTTCTGTAAAGTGGCAAGAAATTAATAGAACCTGGAGTGTTAAAAAGAGAAAAAAGAACGCTAATCGTGTTTTTTTTTTTGTTATACTTATTATGTGCAATAAAAATGCAAGTTTTAATTTCAAAAAAAAAAGAACGGTTGGGTGGGCGGGGCTACTGCTTGGTTACAAAAGACTGTAAGAAGTTAAGCTTAGCCCCGCCCAAAAACTTATTAAGAAATATTTGGTTTGAAATCTAATTGTTCTGAAACATCCTAAAAAATGACACAATTCAATTACTCTGAAAAAATGGTAGGAGTCATCCAAGAAATTGGACCGAAAGGAACTTCTGGGGGTAGAAATCTATGAGAAAATGTATTTCGTTGAATTTTGAAAATGGTTGAAAATGGGCGAAATTTTCATGAAAGCGCGATATTGAAAACTTTTGTTTTTAAAAACGTTGTCGAAAAATTCCCAAAAAAATTAGTGATGTGAGTTTCGACGCATTGATTTCAAAAATATAGCGCATTTAAAGTCTCGGGAAAATATTTAGGAAATAATCGGTTTGCAATCCAGTTTTTTTCAAAAATCCTAAAAATTGCGGTATTTCAACTGGCGATTCTGGAAAAATGATAGGAGTTGTTAAAGAAATAGGGCCGAAAGTGTCTTCTGGAGGTCGAAATCTACAAGAAAATGTATTTGATTGAATTTCGGAAATGGTCAAAAATAGGCTCAAATTTTCAAAAACACGAAATATTGAAAAATTTTGCTTTTGAAAAAGTTGCCGAAAAATTATTAGAAAATTCACAGATGTAGATTTCGACGCACTAGTTTCAAAAATATAGCGCATTTAAAGTCCCGTGATAACATTTAGGAAATCTTTGGTTGGAATCCGAGAAAATGAACCGAAAGCTTAACTTCTTACAAAAATAAATGTACTCTTAAAACTGTCGATATACAGGGTGTCTTTTTTATTTAATACAACCCCTGTAACGTTCTTCTTTCGGTAACACCGGAAATGACATCAAATTTATATTTTTGAATAGAACATCACCAGCATATATTTTAATAAAAGAATTTGTTTTTTTTTATTACCAAATATCAAAAGCAACCATTATTCTAAAATTAATAATCAAAAAGTTATTCAGTAAAATAAATGAAAAATTCATATTTCTTTATGAAAATTTAGTAGCTTGAGAAACGAGAACTCGAGATTTGAATATTCCGTTTTTTTTTGTGTTAACGTCCAAAATAGCAGAACAGGCTAAGAATTAAGTTTGAATACAAGTATTTCTTGCAACAAATTTTTAGAAATTTCCCGCAGATAGTTTTTGACATTTTACTAAATAAAATTTTAATTACTGATTTTAGAATTCTGGTTCTTTGCTTCCCATTTGTAAAAAATACAGCGGGTGTTCTTGTGCCATTTGGAGTTATGTTTCGTCAAATTTACAAAAAGGCTGTTTTTAAGTCACTCAGATCTGAGATGTGCAAGGAACAAATTTTGGAAAAAAAAACTATAACATGTTTTAGAGAACAAAAAGTATATGTACCACTTGTACTTACCGGAAAATGTTCTAGTTGAGGATATTTCAGATAAAAACTTCTAATTATAAGAAAACTATGTAATATTAATAATACATTAAAATATTTCTTTAAATAATTTTATTTGAAAGTTATACCTTTATCAACACGTTTCAACTTATTTTTATCGTAGAAGAGCTTGTGCGTTAAGAATAAGATATCGTTTCACTGAAAAATTTCAACTCCGAACAAACAGAATCAGATATTAAGATACTAAATTTTTGATTAAGGATTTCCGGAGAAAAATTCTTTCCAGTACAATTTCCCCACGTAATATCCAAGAACTGGGTCTGAGCTGTTTAATATTAGGTTTCAAGCCTTTGATGAAAAATTAATTTCATATGGATCCATCTACTCGAAAATCTAAATCGACACTTCTTATCAAACTCTCGTTAGAACTAGTTCTACAAAATGCCCTCAATCATACAACAAAGTTTCCGTTTCAATTTAAAAGCAATGCGCTTCTTTTTTCTCTACCCTCCAGATAAATATAAACCTCTATATCGCATACATACGTACATCATGTACTTTCTACTCGTAGTACCTATTCCTGTTCTGGAGTGCGTCTATTTATTTCTCCAAGAAGACCTTCGTTTCACCCAAATCGCCGACAGCGTTTTTCTCTTGGCAGAATTAGTGTGTTTCGTGCTAAAATTGTATCCTTTTTTGAACAACAGCGAGCGCATTAAAAGATGCATACATTACTTCGATTCTGCGATTTTCGAAGTTGTAAGGAGCGAACATGAGGAGATTCTTAAAGAGTGTGTTAAAATGTGTCGACGAACATCAGCGCTTTTTTTAGCTGCAGTTACCGGAGGATTTATTAGTTGGTCCAGTCGACCCATTTCTTGGAAAAATCACGTCTTGCCGACGGATTTGTGGCTGCCTTTTGATGTTAAGAATGCCCCAAAGTCCTACATTACTTATACTTATATATGTATTGTCATAGGTGACTACTATTGACGTTGTGAAAATTATCTATATATGTGTTTTTTGTTGCAGCAGGGGGATATGGTGCATATACAAGTGCAGTTTTAGATCCGTTAATAGCAGGACTTGCATATCAAGCTACCTGTCAAATAAAAATTCTGAAGAACAATTTACAGTTTCTTAGTGAACATGTTAAGGACGAAGTTGGGAGAAGTGCGAATTTTGATCAAGCAAGCGGGAACACGTTAATGTATGACAAAATTAGAAAATGTGTTATCCATCACAATCTCATTCTAGAGTAAAATTTAGTCGATAAGGGGTTATTTTGTTTTAACTGGATTTTTTTAAGATTTGTTAAAGAATACGAATACTGTTTTTCGCAAATTGCTTTTAACCAGTTTGTAGCAGGCGTCGTTGTACTGTGTGTTTCTTGTTTGGAGTTAACGTTGGTGAGTCTCAACACTTATGAAAGAAGGTGATTTCGAAATATGTGTAGTAAAAATATGGGGAATAGGACTAGGATTAAGAACCAAAAAGCAAGGGTGAATTTTTCAAATTCAATACGTCAGTGGTACAGCATTTCCGAGATCATGGTGCCTGCAAGCCTTATGATCGTGGCCGTGATAGAACTGAAAAAATACTGCAAACTGAAGAACAAATTTTGGAACGCGTCGAAGAAGAGCCCGACATCAGTACTCGCCGACTTGCAACTGAAGTTGGAGTTTCACAGTTTGTAGTGCGGTACAGTACCTCGAGTTTTTAAACAATGTGTTGGAAGAGCAGTTGGATTCGACTTTTAAATTGTGCTTTCTATATTTCCACATTACTACGTTAGGTGATTTCGTGGTTACAATTATGGCATATATTTCGAAATCACCCTGTATATTCTGCATTCAAACTTATGTGCAATGAAATTTCATTTTTAGGTTGAGCTTCTAAGTTTCGATTTCTTAGCTATGGTAATGTATCTTATCGCTATGCTAAGTGAGAGTTATTTGTATTGCTATTTTGGAACCGTATTGTATGACGAGGTAAAAAGCTGGAATTATAATAAAACTGGAACTATCACAGTTCGTTATCAATGTTTATTTTCTAGAGCAACACAATTGCGGATGCCATTTATTTGGGTAAATGGTACGAATATGACGTAAGATGTCGTAAAGCGTTGATCCTTCTGATGGAACGTGCTAAAAAACCCATGGTTGTTACATGTGGAAAAATTGTTGACATGTCTTTGGATACGTTCGCAATGGTAAAACAAATACATAATAAAGTAAAAATGCTATAGTAATGTGTATTTTTTAGATATTGAGAAGATCTTTGTTGGCAGTTCTGGAAAATTATAATATAGATCTAAAGTGACCCTTAAAATATACATTTATATCATTAAGTTTATTACTTGTACAAGATGAATGTGGTTGTTTAGTTAGTGCACTATTTTGTGTATAAAAATAGTTCTTGTTTGGAAATAATATCTAACAATGTTTTACATTTTTTTTATAAATTTATAATCGTATGGTAAATAAAGCTGTTCTAGTTAATGTAACAAAATTTTGGATTGTTTATATACTAATAGCAATTTTCTGAAAATTAACGTCAAGAAGACCAACTGGTTTTAATCACGCCATTTCAACACGGATTTGGGTCTAACAACTCAACTATGACAAAATTTTTGACCAAATAGATCATCACATTTTACTTGGAAAAGTAGATAGACTTGGGTTTACTCAACCTCGGGTTCATCCGTTCCGACCCTATTTGTTGAACAGACAATTTGTTATATATCGAAATTTTATTTCGACTAGTCCTATTTCCACATCGGGCGTCCCGCACGGTTCAAATCTGGGTCCTTTGCTATTCCTGATTTTTGTCAAGCTCCTTTCGGATTGTGCTACGTCACATAAATTACTGTTTGTCGAGTTAATGGTCTCACTATGTATAATAATGTATTATATGTTCTTCTGTAGGGTGGGAATGGTAAATATTTCCTGCAATAGTGATGTTTACGGATGAAGCTTGTTTTACGTACGTACGTTCCAGTCACCATCAACAGCAGATTGGAATCAATGTTTAGGCTGGTATAACTGGAAACCACTTATCTTCATTTTCTTAGAAATATATTTCCTGAACTATTAAAAGATTAACTATTCAGCAAATGTGGAACTATACTGGAACTGTCTTAATGAGACATAATTTCCACATGATTAGTACATACAGGTTTTCTATAAATGATTATAAGGTCAAAATAGGTTATGAACACGTGCCGCCTCTCAGTTTCGAGCGTATTAAATGCCCAAGAACCACGATAAATACCACACGCATCTGTATAACTGGTTGCCTAAGTGCTTCATATTAAAAAAAAAAATAATAAAATTGATTCATTATAATAAAAAGCAACAAGGACACATATTTACTCTCTTTATAATTTCAAAAAGGTTCTGTAATCTTTTCGTCAATGCCCATTGCTCAATTTCATGTTGCAACAGGAACTCCTGACTGCTGAGGAAATTTTGTCAAAGATGTTTGCGGATTCTGCTCTAGTCGTCTCAGATCATCAACAACTTTCTCACATATTGAAGGTCTTCTAAGAGATTTTTCTTTGTTGACACTGCCAGTTCGAACAAATCTGTTGATTACATCTCTAATGTGTTTTTAAAGCGATTGTTTTGTTGTTTTGAGCTTGGACCAACGAAAATTATCGAAGCTCACACTTGAAAAACGTTAAAACAATAGAAACAACAGGTTACAAATGACATTAATGACAGGTGAGAACTTGTGACAACTTACTCGTATAAGTCTCGACAGTACTGAAAATTTGTTGTGCAACCCCTACATCAAACTACATTGTCATATGCAGAAAAATAAGCTTTATCAAATAATGCAATAAAAATTGTCCATTCTTATTAAAAAAAAACATTGACGACGTCATAACTTTTAAAAATTTGACGTAAAATTTTTTTGATATATGTCAAAAGAAGGTCCTTTTCGTCCTTTTAGTGCTTTTTCGTTCTTTTTCGTCCGTTTCGTCCTGTTTCGTCCTCTTTCGTCTTTTTTCGTCCTTTTCGTTCTTTTTGTCCTTTTTCGTCCTATTCGTCCTGTTTGTCCTTTTGATTCTTTTCGTCCTTTTTCATCCTTTCTCGTTCTTTTTGGCCCTTTTCGTCCTTTTTGGTCCCGTTCGTTCTTTTTGGTCCTTTACGTCCTCTTCGTCCTTTTTCGTCCTTTTTCGTCGTTTTTCGTCTTTTCCGTCCTGTTTCATTCTTTTCGTCATTTTTGGTCCTTTTCGTCCTTTTCGTCCGCTTTCTTCCTTTTCGTCCTTTGCTGGGTCCTTTTTCGTCCTTTTCACTCCTTTTTGGTCCTTTTTGTCTTTTTCGTCGTTTTCGTGCTTTTCGTTCTTTTTCGTCCTTTTTCGTCCTTTTTGGTCGTTTTCGTGCTATTCGTTCTTTTTCGTCCTGTTCCGTCCTTTTTCGTCCTTTTTCATCCTTTTTCGCCCTTTTCGTCCTTTCTGGTCCTTTTGGTCCTTTTTCGTCGTTTTCGTCCTTTTTCGTCTTGTTCGCCCTTTTTCGTCCTTTTCGTCCATTTTCGTCGTTTTCATCTTTTTCGTCCTTTTCGTCCTTATTCGTCCTTTTCGTCTTTTTTCGTCCTTTTTGTCCATTTTCGTCGTTTTCATCTTTTTCGTCCTTTTCGTCCTTCGTCCTTTTCGTCGTTTTTCGTCTTTTATCGTCTTTTTACGTCCTTTTCGTCCTTATCGTCCTTTTTCGTCCTTTTGGTCCTTTTCGGTCCTTTTTGTCCTTTTCGTCCTTTTTGTGTTTTTCGTCATTTTTGGTCCTTTTTCGTCCTTTTCATCCTTTTTGGTTCTTTTTGGACCTATTCGTCCTTTTTCGTCCTTTTGATCCTTTTTGGTCCTTTTTGTCCTTTTCCTCCTTTTTTGTCCTTTCCGTCATTTTTGGTCCTTTTTGGTCCTTTTTGGACCTATTCGTCCTTTTCGTCCTTTTTAGGTGTTTTCATCCTTTTTAGTCCTTTCCGTCTTTTTGGCCCCTTTTCGTCCTTTTCGTACTTTTCGTCCTTTTTCGTCTTGTTCGCCCTTTTTCGACCTTTTCGTCTATTTTCGTCGTTTTCATCTTTTTCGTCCTTTTTGTCCTTATTCGTCCTTTCCGTCTTTTTTCGTCCTTTTTGTCCATTTTCGTCGTTTTCATCCTTTTCGTCCTTTTCGTCCTTCGTCCTTTTCGTCGTTTTTCGTCTTTTATCGTCTTTTTCGTCCTTTTGGTCCTTTTTGGTCCTTTTTGTCCTTTTCGTCCCTTTTTGTCCTTTTCGTCATTTTTGGTCCTTTTTCGTCCTTTTCGTCTTTTTTGGACCTATTCGTCCTTTTTTGTCCTTTGGGTCCTTTTTGGTTCTTTTTGTCCTTTTCGTCCTTTTTTGTCCTTCTCGTCATTTTTGGTCCATTTTCGTCCTTTTCGTCCTTTTTGGTCCTTTTTGGACCTATTCGTCCTTTTCGTCCTTCTTAGGTGTTTTCATCCTTTTAGTCCTTTCCGTCTTTTTGGTCCTTTTTCGTCCTTTTTCATCCTCTACGTCCTTTTCGTTCTTTTCGTCTTTTTCATCATTTTTGGTTCTTTTTGTCCTTTTTGTTCTTTTCGTCGTTTTTCGTCCTCTTTCGTCCTTTTCGTCCTTTTCGTCCCTTTCGTCCTTTTTCATCTTTTTTCGTCGTCTTTGGTCCTTTTCGTCATTTTCCGTCCCCTTCGTCCTTTTTCGTACTTTTTGGTCCCTTTCGTCCTTTTCGTCCTTTTTGGTTCTTTTTGTCCTTTTTGTCCTTTTCGTCGTTTTTCATCCCTTTCGTCCTTTTTTGTCCTTTTTGGACCTTTTCGTCCTTTTTGGTCCTTCTCGTCCTTCTTGGTACTTTTCGTCCTTCTAGGTCCTTTCGTCTTTTTCGTCCTTTTTTGTCCTTTCGGCCGTTTTTCGTCCTTTTTCGTCCTTGTTCGTCCTTTTTCGTCCTTTTCGTCCTTTTCGTCCTTTTTCGTCCTTTTTCGACCTTTCAGTCCTTTTTCTTCAATCAATTTTTTCTTCGTCCTTTTTGGTCCTCTTTCGTCCTTTTCGTCCCTTTCGTCCTTTTTCATCCTTTTTCGTCCTCTTTGGTCCTTTCCGTCCCCTTCGTCCTTTTTCGTATTTGTTGGTCCTTTTCGTCCTTCTTGGTCCGTTTTGGTCCTTTTCGTCCTTTTTCGTCCTTTTCGTCCGTTTTTGTCCTTTCCGTCTTTTTCGTCCTTCTCGTCCATTTTCGTACTCTTTCGTCCTTTTCGTCTTTTTCGTCCTTTTTGGTTCCTTTTGTCCTTTTCGTCCTTTTCGTCGTTTTTCGTCCCTTTCGTCATTTTTCGTCCTTTTTGGACCTTTTCGTCCTTTTCGTCCTTTTTGGTCCTTCTCGTCCTTCTTGGTCCTTTTCGTCCTTTTTGGCCCTTTCGTCCTTTTCGTCTTTTTTCGTCCTTTTTCGACCTTTCAATCCTTTTTTTTTAATCAATCAATTTTTTCTTCGTCCTTTTTGATCCTCTTTCGTCCTTTTCGTCCTTTTCGTCCCTTTCGTCCTTTTTCGTACTTTTTGGTGGTTTTTTGTTCTATTCGTGCTTTTCGTCCTTTTCGTCCTTTTTGGTCCTTTTTGGTCCTGTTCGTCCTTTTCGCCTTTTTCGTCCTTTTTGGTTCTTTTTGTCCTTTTCGTCCTTTTCGACGTTTTTCTTCCCTTTCGTTGTTTTTCGTCCTTTTTGGACCTTTTCGTTCTTTTCGTCCTTCTTGGTCCTTTCGTCCTTGTCGTCCTTTTTGTCCTATCGGCCGTTTTTCGTCCTTTTTCGTCCTTTTCGTCCCTTTCGTCCTTTTTCATCCTTTTTCGTCCTCTTTGGTCCTTTCCTTCAATGAAATACATCATTGGTCCTATAATAATTGTCTTCTGCTTAACAATGATAAGTGCAGTGTTGTTACATATTCAAATAAGCTGAACGTGTTAATGTTTGAGTATTCAATAAATAGTGTTAGTCTAATAAGATGTTCAGAGATTAAAGACTTAGGTGATTCGCACTTTACCTTTAAAGTCCACATTGATTTTCTTGTAACCAGTGCTATGAAGGTGTTAGGTTTTATATTATGGATCTGCAAAAATTTTGATAACATCCAAACTTTGAAACATTTGTATTATTCCCTTGTTAGGACGAAGCTTGAATATTGCTCTCTGGCCTGGTTTCCATAATACAGATATCAATGCACTTCCCTTGAAAACATTCAGAGAAAATTCTTGAAGTATCTTTATTTCAAGGAATTGAAACAGTGGCCAGTGAGGAATTGTGCTCAAAATTTTTTGTTAGACAAATTTGCAGTGAGATCGCTACGTT